AGTGAAAGGCAAAGGGGTCTCTTCTCTACGCGAATTTCGGATCATGTCTACGCTTAATGTTGCCATCGACAACAAGAAGGACCAGAACCATCGACAAGGCGCACTGTTCGCGTATGAGCTTCTGGCTTTGGTCCTTGGCCGGACTTTCGAACCATACATCATTCAGATCGTCCCACAGCTACTCGCCAGTTTTGGCGACACCACTGCTGATGTACGTGAAGCCTGTTTGGATACCTCGAAAACCTGCTTTGCGAATCTCAGCTCGTATGGAGTCAAAATCGTTCTCCCAACGCTACTGGAAGGACTTGAAGAGTCGCAATGGAGAAGCAAGAAAGGTGCCTGTGACTTGCTAGGCGCCATGGCGTATCTCGATCCGCAACAATTGGCCCTGAGTCTCCCAGAGATTATACCACCTTTGACTGGCGTTTTGAGTGACAGCCACAAGGAAGTCAGGTTGTCGGCCAATAGGAGTCTACAACGGTTCGGCGAGGTCATTAGTAATCCAGAAGTCAAGGGACTGGTCAACATCCTGCTCAAGGCGTTAAGTGATCCTACCAAGCATACCGACGAAGCACTAGACGCCCTCATCAAGGTCTCATTCATACATTACCTCGACTCGCCCTCTTTGGCTCTTATTGTTCGTATACTCGAAAGGGGTCTGGGAGACAGATCCGCTACTAAGCGAAAGTCAGCACAAATCATTGGGAGCTTAGCACATTTGACTGAGCGAAAGGATGTCACGCCCCACCTTCCCATTCTTGTCGCTGGCTTGAAGCTCGCAGTAGTTGATCCAGTCCCCGCTACGCGCGCCACCGCTTCCAAAGCGCTAGGGTCTTTAGTGGAGAAACTTGGCGAAGATTCGCTACCCGACTTGATCCCCAGTCTTATGTCTACGTTGAAGTCTGACACAGGTGCTGGAGACAGATTGGGCTCCGCTCAAGCACTAAGTGAAGTTCTTGCTGGTCTTGGCACAGGGCGACTCGAAGAGACCTTACCAACAATCCTCCAAAATGTTGCCAGCGCAAAACCTACAGTACGGGAAGGCTTCATGTCCTTATTCATCTACTTGCCAGCTTGCTTCGGGAACAGCTTTGCTTCTTACTTGAGCAAGATCATTCCTCCCATCCTGTCCGGCTTGGCAGATGAAATTGAATCGATCAGAGAGACATCCCTTAGAGCAGGCAGACTGCTCGTCAAGAACTTTGCCACCAAAGCTATTGACCTCCTCCTCCCTGAGCTTGATCGAGGGCTTGCAGACGATAGTTATCGCATACGCCTGAGTTCCGTTGAATTAGTCGGTGACCTCCTCTTCAATTTGACCGGCATAACTGGCAAGACGGAACAAGATGAAGAAGAGGAAGGTGCTGCAGAAGCTGGGCAGTCTCTGCTTGAAGTCCTTGGGGAAGACAAGCGGAACAAGATCCTCTCATCTCTCTACATTTGCCGCTGCGACACTTCAGGTCTGGTTCGAACTGCTGCTATCAACGTCTGGAAGGCCCTTGTTGCAACTCCTCGGACTCTCAAGGAGCTTATTCCAACACTTACGCCACTCCTCATCCGACGTCTTGCAAGTTCAAATATGGAGCAGAAGGTCATTGCCGGCAACGCTTTAGGTGAACTTATCAGAAAGGCCGGAGAGGGGGTCTTAGCAAGTTTACTTCCTACGCTCGAGGAAGGCCTCCAAACATCCAACGATACGGACAGCAAGCAAGGAATCTGCATAGCACTCAAGGAAATCATCTCTTCTGCTTCCGAAGAAGCGCTTGAAGAGTATGAGAAGACTCTGATATCTGTGGTGCGCGTTGCGCTTGTGGATTCTGACAATGAGGTGCGAGAAGCAGCCGCAGAAGCATTCGATTCGTTGCAAAGGATACTTGGAAAGAGGGCTGTCGACCAGGTCCTACCATACCTCCTGAATCTGCTCCGCACAGAGGGCGAGGCCGACACTGCCCTCTCCGCATTGTTGACTCTGCTCACGGATAACACCCGATCAAATATAATTCTACCAAATCTAGTACCAACGCTACTGGTCTCGCCGATCTCTTCATTTAATGCAAAGGCAATAGCTTCCCTTTCGGAAGTTGCCGGGTCAGCCATGACAAGAAGATTACCTGCTATCCTAAATGCTCTAATGGATAACATTATCGTCTGCAAGGACGATGCACTACGATCTGAGCTCGGAGATTCATTCGATTCTATCTTAATATCGATGGATGAATACGACGGGCTGAATACTGCAATGAGCGTGCTGCTTGCATTGGCCAAGAACAATGATCACCGCAAACGTGCAAGCGTCAATGTCCGACTGAGCAACTTCTTTGCCAAGTCTGACATCGATTTCTCCCGCTACCACCAAGATCTCATCCGCGTCCTGCTCATATCTTTCGACGACTCAGACACAGAGGTTATCAAGGCGGCTTGGCTTGCCCTTTCAGAGCTTACAAAGCGCCTCAAAAAGGAAGAGATGGAGGCTCTGGTTTTCTCAACACACCAAATTCTACAACAAGTGGGAGTGCCTGGTCATAATTTACCTGGCTTCTTGCTGCCAAAAGGCATCAATGCGATCCTTCCAATCTTCTTACAGGGTCTCATGAATGGTACCGCCGACCAGCGTACCCACGCAGCCTTGGCTATCTCGGATATAATCGATCGTACAAACGCTGACTCGCTCAAGCCATTTGTCACGCAGATAACAGGACCGCTTATTAGGGTGGTTTCGGAGCGCTCGGTTGATGTCAAAGCTGCTATTTTGCTAACATTGAACAATCTCTTGGAGAAGATTCCGACTTTCTTGAAGCCCTTCTTGCCACAGCTTCAACGCACTTTCGCCAAATCTTTGGCTGATACCTCCAGCGAGGTGCTCAGATCGAGAGCGGCAAAAGCACTCGGAACCCTTATCACAATGACACCTCGCATCGATCCGTTGATCGCAGAGCTAGTGACTGGCTCTAAGACACAAGACCCAGGCGTACAGAATGCGATGCTCAAAGCGTTGTATGAGGTCGTCAGCAAAGCCGGAGCCATTATGAGCGAGGCTTCCCGCAGTTCGATCCTGGGACTCATCGATGGTGATACAAGCCACGCTGATGATTCGATGATCATCACCCATGCAAGGCTATTTGGAGCTCTTGTCAAGAGCCTTCCAGTGACATTCGACGCCTCTAGTCTAATCAAGACGCGTGTGCTGAGTATTCACATGAGCAATGCCACAGCGTTGAATCTCAACTCGGTACTTCTTGAATCGCCCGCCACACTGACTGAGGACTTCCCTTCAGAAACTCCCAATATCGTCTGCCATGGTATTCGAAGCAAAAACGTGAGTCCTCGGTATTTCTACTGCAGAAAAGCCTAGCTAATGGTTTTACAGACTTTCATCTCCGATAATTGCGTCCTCGCCGCAGGAAAGTACCTGCTTACGCTAAGGAGACTTTCTAACCTCGAATCAAGCAAAGCTGTTATCGAAGCTCTAGCTGCAGCCATTGCACCCGGAGGCCCAGTTGACACTCGACGCCTATCTCTTGTTGTCATTCGTACAGTTAGCCGTACGAACTACGATCTCATGAGCCCAAGCCTTCCAGTCCTCGCACCCCCAATATTTGCCAGCGTCCGCGATCCAGTGATCCCGGTCAAGCTAGCTGCCGAGGCTGCTTTCCTATCAATATTTTCGGTCGTGGAGAGCGAAACCACAGTGTTCGACAAATATATGGCAGATGTTGGGGTAGGAATGAACCCTACGACGAAGAGGAGCATGACCGACTATTTCAAAAGAGTGGCAGTAAGACTAGGTACGCAAGCAAGGGAACGGAAAGAGGCCGAGGGTGGTCAAGGTGGACTGGGACTGTCTAATGACGAACGAGAAGATGAAAGAGAGATATGGAGTGTGGGAAAGGTGGACCTTGGGGAGAAGACCTTCAGCGATGACTGATAATGTGGCAATAGGTCATGAACTCGATGGAATTTAAAAGCATCAGCGTTTGTAAATATGGGTTGTTGAGCATAGCGAGGCGTCCCGAAAAGTGTCATCTGCATGTCAATGATCCTTGGTCTCGGACACAGATATCGTGCCATCGATTAAGCGCAACGCCGAATAGCTCTATACCATAACACCCAGCGCTTGTGTTCAACAGCGGAGTCAGGCCGTCAAATACGTGTAAGAGAGTGCCAATGAATTCGGCTCTACTGTATAGCAAGAAGCCATAAAGAGGATCATGGTCTCTGGGGGCCTGCTCGAGTGGAAAGACCCAATGGGCAAGTCTCGGCACCAAAAGAAGATGCTCGTCCGAAGCTGCTGCTTTCAGGGTGCGGGCTGGGTGACAGGGGTGATGTAGCATCCCGGCTTGGCCGGATGAATATGTTATAGGGCAATTCTTCATTCTTCCACTCGCCTCGAAGGACCAAACATGCAGGACAGCGTACGTGCGGACTTGCACTTTCTCGCACGGCTGCGTTCAATTGGCCTCAGCGATCTTTGCCATGATGAGATGTAAAGAGGAACAGTGCGCTGCTCAGTCTGATTCTTTTAGAACGAGTAGAGTACCTCGAACTCGAAGCTGCTTGCTAGATCCGCACCCCAGTCCTTGCATACTTTTAAGGTACCTTGTTGAAATCTCAGGATGAAATGCACGGGTTCCTGGGAAATGGGTCCGTCTCGGCGCGTGGCGCTGCGTTGTAAGCAGATTCATGGGATAGCGCGGATTATCAAGATGTTTCCAATGATCACACAGCATCTCTAATCCTTAAGTGCGCGACGAAAGTATTATGCTACGATTACGCGATGAAAGCCAACGGATCGGTAAACACTGTGCATGAGCATCTTCAGTTGTTAAATAGAACGGCTTCCTAGGAGTCTACTGCAGGCCCCGATTTCAAAGAGCTTTTTCAGACAAGACCCATCAAAAGAAGGATCGAAATATGGTTGTTGTCAATTATCTAGTGCCGGCTCTGGTTCTGAATGTATGTACCGCGCCTCCTTCTCATGGGGTTTAAGTACCAGTCAGCTAATGGAGCCTCATCCATACGATCAGCTCACCGTGCAGAATGTAGTAAGTAGTACCCCGAACGCAGCTCGCAAAGCATCCGGTCTCTTAACATTCTCCAGCTACAAATCGTATCCGGCAACCTCTCCACTGGTGGCACCCTCGTTCTCGGCCACATAACAATGGGCACATTAGTCTCCGAACCAGGAGTATGCCAACCCTACGCAGCCCTCGTACCCAAATCAGTTCTCCTCTCTAACAGTCCCTCAGTTCGAAACCCCTATCAATGCAACGATGTCGCACACAAACGATTGGCCAACCATAGATCCATCCGGGCTCCACTCGGGCTCCACTCCCGCCCTAGTCTCCTCGGCCTAGTCTCCACCGACGATGGCGCCTACCTTCAATTCTAGGCCACGGGAATCCAAAAGTCGACGCCGGAGTTGGTTGATGTTATCACGGGACTAACAGATAATGCGAGTGTTCCGTATGGTGCTGTTTACTCTGGTGCGTAGCTTCTGAACACAGGGAGAATCACGCTAACGGTTATGTCACCCACAGTATTCGTGGTTAGCTTCAGAACGGGTTCTGCTAAATACAAGAACCTTGAGGACAGCATTTTCGTTGCGAGCGAGACCGTCGAAGCGCCTGGGCATGGCGTTTTCCGGACCGGTCTTAGGGTCAGTAAGGTGTTTCCGACTAAGACGAATGTCACTCTCGAGTGATCACTGTACGTTGGTCTAAAATACCTTTGATCCCGTAGAAAAGGCTGAGCGCTGCCCGTAATCTACGCCTAGCAAGGCAAATATAGGGGGAATCATCGTCATTTAGGCTTGATGGGAAGATGAAGGTCGACTCAATTATGCGTACAATGTTAAAAAACTACCATATGACGAGTACATGATATTGACCAAAGATTGGAGTATGCATGGGTTCAAATGAAGGCTGGCTGCATTAAAAGATTCGACCAGATAACGTAGACGCTAATCAGGTTTCTTGAGCCGCGCAATTGTTGTACTGATAGCGTACTCATCTGTGAGAAAAAGAGAGGAAGGACTGCTCGCGAGCTCGCCTCGAAAGGTCCTAAGAGCAAGTCTTGGCAGAAATGGAGATCCTCGCTTAGCTTCGCACTAGACAAGCCCACACTTTGATGAGTCGACGACACCACTGTGATCAGTACAACATCACACATCAACAACAACGCCCAGTCATCCAATATGTAAGCTACATTTCACCCTTGAGACATAGACAGAATGGGTTATGAGCTATCTGTCACGTCTGGTGAATCCCAGCGTGCTGAGAACCTGCAAAACTCCGGATGCCCCTCCATCAGCAAATCTGTTCCCCAGCTAACCCACTCTCTCTCACAGGGTCAATCTCCGCACCCAAAAGCGCCTCGCGGCCTCCGTCGTTGGCTGCGGCAAGCGCAAGATCTGGCTCGATCCCAATGAAATGAACGAAATCTCCAATGCCAACTCCCGCCAGACGATTCGCAAGCTCGTGTCCGATGGTCTCATCATCCGCAAGCAGGTCACCATGCATTCGCGTGCGCGTGCGAGGGAGTTGACCGCCGCTCGACGGATTGGGAGACATAGAGGGTTTGGAAAGAGGAAGGGTACGAGTGATGCTAGGATGCCTAGGTATGAAATTTCTGTTACAGTGCAAGAGCTACAAAGGAGGGCAATAAGATTTGCAACCGCAGCCGTGGATCTAGCGAATTGGTCGGCTGATTTTCTTCTCTCACTGTCTAGTCAAGTGCTCTGGATGCGCCGTCTCCGAGTCCTCCGTCGCCTCTTGGTCAAATACCGCGCCTCAGGCAAGATCGACAAGCACTTGTACCACGAGCTCTACCATCTGAGCAAGGGTAACACCTTCAAGCACAAGCGAGCATTGGTTGAGCATGTGAGTCATAACACCCTAAAAGTCTACAATAAAACCCTCTGACAAATCTCGCTGCAGATCCACAAGGCTAAGGCCGAGAAGCAACGTGAGCGTATCCTGAAGGAGGAAATGCAAGCCAAGCGCGACAAGACCAAGGCAGCACGCGAGAGGAGACAAGAACGTATCCAGACAAAGAGGAACGCGTTGACTGGCGAGGCGGAGGAGGAGGCGAAGGAGTAGATTCTGGATGGAGCGAAGCGTGCTGGTTGAAGAGGGACCATGGATTACACATCATCCAAGGCGAGATCAGTCGCAACATCGTGAGATATGCTGCTGTTGTTGGCGTTGTCAGATACATGATGGTTACATCTGGCAGGTCTAGCATAGCAATGAAGCCGCATGTTCTCTCTGAAGTCGGTAAAAAACCTCAGACCATGCTTTCAGTAGTTCAGCCGTCCACCCCACGGTAGGCTTGGTCTATAGCCAGATCCGACTTGTGCGATATCCATCAGCAGTGTTGGCAGTACTCTCGTTGCGGACAGTTTCATGCCAAGACTTTTCGGAATTGCCTCGGATGTAGACTTTGTATCTTGCGACTCAATGCTGTACTGAAATACTCCTTTCGGTCGCCATGCTTGAAGTCCCTCTCACCTCTCAGGACATGGCTTCTCAGACACCCTCTCGAAGTCCTCCTCGACGGGAAGGTCACAATGACCGGCGAGACAGAAAACCAGCATCCAGAAAATTGCGGCAAAAAGGCAACGATGACTTCGAGGACCGCTGGGGCGACGAGGAGTTTGTGGAAGAAGAGGAGTTCGAAGAGTCACCCCCAAAGAGAGTCCGCCTTGGTGATGGGGTCGCAGCTCCTGCTCAACCGCCAGAGGAGGAACTTGACGAGGAGACACGAAGGGAGAGGGAAATGGAAAGAGACCAGCTGGAGAAGGACGAATTTGCCAGGCGGTTGAATCTCAAGGACGCTGAGAAGACGAAGAAGCTTGTTGAGGATCGATCATCTACGAAAGAAGGCAAGGAGGTGGCTAAGCGGCGAGCGCTGGCTGAAGATGCAGCAGCGAGACAGGCGGCAATGCCAGACCTGAGGGAGAGGTCTAGGCAAGAATATCTCAAAAAACGAGAAACGGAGAGACTGGCCTTGCTACGCAAACAAATTGCCGAAGAGACGACAGAACTCCGAAGCAACCCAGACCTGACAAGGAGGGAGAAGGATGAATTCGCGAAGAACAGGGAGGTTCTTCGTATCGCGGAGGAGAGGCTACGGATCGATGACCACAGGGACGGATACACAATGCCCGAGGACTACATCACGGAGAAAGGCAAGATTGACAGGAAGAAGAAAGAGGAAGCCCTCTACAAGCGCTATGTGGACAAGGACGAGCACGGCCAGGAGAGATATGTTACAGAGCAGGAGGAGTGGGAAAAGGAACAGACGGCGAAGGCGAAGGCCCAGATCTCTCAAAGCGAAAGGGTAGATGAGGGGGACTATGATTATGTATTCGATGATGCCCAGAAGATCAACTTTGTCATGGACACCAGGCTGGACAGTGACGCGAAGCCCCTGACAAAAGAGCAAAGAGCGCTGCAGGAACAACTGAAAGCTGCTGAGGCGAAGGCTTCCTCGATCGAAGACACACGAAAGAGTCTGCCCATCTACACCTTTAGAGACGACCTCCTCAAGGCCATCGGAGAATATCAGGTCCTCATCATCGTCGGAGAAACAGGCAGCGGAAAGACGACTCAGATACCTCAATACCTCCACGAAGCTGGATACACAAAAGATGGTCTCAAAGTTGGATGCACTCAGCCTAGGCGAGTGGCTGCTATGAGTGTTGCAGCGCGCGTTGCGGAGGAGATGGGGGTCAAGGTTGGAAACGAGGTGGGCTACTCGATACGCTTTGAGGACGCCACGTCCGATAAGACGATTCTGAAATACATGACAGATGGTATGCTACTGAGGGAGTTCTTGACTGAGCCAGATCTGGGAGCATACTCGGCGTTAATGATTGACGAAGCCCACGAAAGGACGCTGCACACGGATATTCTCTTCGGGCTCGTTAAAGACATTGCAAGATTCAGGCCAGAGCTGAAGCTTCTGATATCTTCGGCGACCATGGACGCCCAGAAGTTCGCCAAATACTTCGACGATGCCCCGATCTTCAACATACCTGGGCGAAGATACCCCGTCGACATCCACTACACTCCGCAACCAGAAGCCAACTACCTCGCTGCCGCCGTCACTACCATCTTCCAAATCCACATCACACAGCCAAGAGGAGACATTCTGGTGTTCTTGACGGGTCAAGAAGAGATCGAGGCAGCCGAGTTAAATCTACAGGAGACTGCGAGAAAGCTGGGGTCCAAAGTACCTGAGATGATCATATGTCCAATCTACGCTAATCTTCCTTCTGAACTACAAAGCAAGATCTTTGAGCCGACACCTCCGAAAGCTAGAAAGGTCGTCCTAGCCACCAACATTGCTGAAACTAGTCTCACAATCGACGGTATTGTCTACGTGATAGATCCAGGCTTCGTGAAGGAGAACGTCTATAATGCGAGAACTGGCATGGAATCACTGGTAGTCACTCCCTGCTCACGGGCTTCCGCAAACCAAAGATCTGGTAGAGCTGGGCGAGTTGCTCCCGGGAAATGCTTTCGCCTGTATACCAAGTTCGCTTTCCACAACGAGCTCGACGATTCGACTATGCCTGAGATTCAACGGACGAACCTCAACAGCGTGGTGCTTTTGCTGAAGTCTCTTGGCATCAACGACCTCATGGAGTTCGACTTCATGGATGCTCCACCTGCTGAAACTCTCATCCGCGCCCTCGAAAATCTCTACGCCCTCGGCGCTCTGAACGACAAGGGTGCCTTGACCAAGCTTGGGCGTCAGATGGCAGAGTTCCCAACAGACCCCATGCTAGCCCGCTCCATCCTCGCCGCCGACAAGCAGGGTTGCGTTGAAGAAGTGCTCTCCATCATCGCCATGCTCGGCGAATCCGCGTCCCTCTTCTACCGCCCCAAAGATAAGAAGATACTGGCCGACAGTGCCCGCGCACGCTTCACTATCAAGGAAGGTGGTGATCACTTCTCCCTACTCAACATCTGGAACCAATGGGTCGATAGCGACTTCAGCTATGTCTGGGCGCGCGAGAACTTCCTCCAGCAACGAAGCCTTACCCGCGCTCGAGACGTTCGAGATCAACTTGCCAAGCTCTGCGACAGAGTGGAAGTCACCATCACCTCCGTCGGCGCTCAGGATCTCGTTCCCATCCAGAAATCTCTCACGGCCGGGTTCTTCCCCAACGCAGCGCGCTTGCAGAAAGGTGGAGACAGCTACCGCACCGTGAAGAATAGCATGACGACGTACCTCCACCCTAGCAGCACACTGTTCGAGGTGAATCCGAAATGGATCATCTTCTACGAGCTCGTGCTCACGTCGAGGGAGTACATGCGAGGCAACCTTCCGATACAGGCAGAGTGGTTGGCAGACGCGGCACCGCATTATCATAAGAAGAAAGATCTGGACGCGTTGGGGACGGATAGGAAGATGCCAAAGGGGCAGGGGTCCGCGGGCGCGAAAAGTAAGATATAAGTTGAAGATTAGCATCAAAAAAGATTCTTTCTCAACTCCCTCCTCCGTACTCAAGACTCCCTTTTACCCTCATCTCACCGGACTCGCCACAGAGCTCAGCTCCGCCTGCGGTGTCCCTTGCAACTCATTCATCCTCACTTGCCCATCCATCTCATGCCGCGAAGGCTCCACCCAGCCCGGATGGGTCGTATACCGCTGCCCGCTCATCATCTCCGGCGCCCCCAAACCACCCAAAGCCATCTTCCCCTCCCTCCCCCTCCTCCGCGCCCTCAGCACGCAAAACCCCAGCGCCGCCCCAAGCGCCGCAGCACCCAGCGCAACCCCGACACCGATCCCCGCCTTGGCGCCCGCGCCGAGCCCACTACTCGCCCGCGTCGTCGCCGTCGCCGTCCCCTTCACAGCCGACGTCGTCACCGACGCACCCGCAGACTGCGCCGCGACCAGCGACGAGGCGGACGTAGCGGTCGGAGCGGCAGCAGCCTTGCCGACGGACGCCGTGGCGGAGAGCCCCCACGTCTGCGCGGCCGCGGCGTTGTTGTGCAGGAGGGCGAACTCGGGGCTCTGGCCGACGGGCCCGCAGGCGGGGGAGCCGTGGCAGTAGAGGGAGGTGTGGCACGTGTGGTTGAAGGCGTCGGCGTAGGGGAAGGACTGCGGGTCCGTGCCGTTGGTCGTGACGTTGGCGGTGTAGACTGGGGTTTCGGGGGGTCAGTTGACGCCGCGAAGGGGGGTGACGGGTGAAGGAAGGAGAAGGGGAGATTTGCAGGACGAGGATGACTGGTGAATAAGACAGACGGATAGACTCACGTGCAAAGTATTTATCGTCGGTCGCGCACCAGAGGGTTAGGGATGGGTTTGTGAAGTTCGAATCCCAGGTGAAATAGACGACGTCGTTGTAGTTGTAAGCGAGGGCGTTTGAGGAGCTCGAGGGGGGGTAGAGCCAGTCGACGTAGGCCTTGCACGGCGAGGTGAGGAGGAGGGTCGAGAGTATGGAAGCGCGAAGGGCCAGCCTTTGGCGCGTGTGTAAATGCATGGTGAATGGGCAATAGGATAGAATAGAACAGAACAGAACAGAACAAAGCAAAAAAAAAAGACTTGAGAAAAAGGTTTAAAAAGAGGCACTTCGAAGTCCCATATAAGAAGTGTGGAATAGCCTATTTGCGTCGAACATAATGAGGCTGTTGTTTGTTGGTGTGCATAGCCTCGTTCCGCCGCAATCCTGCGAACAGGTGCGACGGCTATACAAAGTCGCCGAGGAAAAAATTGGCCAAGAGTCCGCCCCGGACAAAGTCGAGGCGAGTATAGGCTACGACCTGCTGAAATGGTGTCCGATGATTGAATGGCATCTTGACCGCAGTATACACTCGGTTTGAGCAAAAGACGTATGTGCCTGGAAAGGAAGCATGATCCCAACTCGATATGCAACAAAATCAAAATCCAACGGGCGCCGCAGCATGCCCGAGAATTTGGCGACAATACCGGAATGGGATGAAGGAGCTTTCATGATGCGTGACTTGGAGGGCGATATTGAGAGCGCTCTCCGCGGACGTATTGCCAGGATAAGAAATCGTGGGCAGATTCCCCAAAGCGGAAACTGGGAACTTGGGGTGCTCAAAGCTGGCTTCGAACGCAGATTTTGGACTGTGCAACTTGAGGGCAGTTCTTCCCAATTATGTTGCGAATGCCTCCGAGTATATCTAGATCCGACCTACAGCTGTACCGTTGACAACTCCTGCCAACGAGTCGAAGGGTTGGTCTGAGATTTCCATTACGAGGTTCCCATGCATGCCTGGAGGAATCAATTAGCCGTCTTTTCACATGCCCAAAAACCCAGATGGTATGCAAGAGTATACCAACCAAGACGATCAGCAGTCCCCCTCCTCCCCGCTCTGACACAGATCGCATTCAGCGCAACCGAAACCTCCCATAGATGATACCAACTCTCGGTATCCGTTGGAGCATTACTCAAGATCTTAAGCACACACTTCTCGTCCCCTTAGCAATCTTAACGTCAGCACAGACTTTCGAGTATGCATTGCGGGATGGGTAGCCTCACTTGACACCAGTTCTAAGGGCAGATCTTCTTCAACTGCGGGGTCCAGGAAGCTATCACCGAACAATCTCTGCTTGTCATCGGCCTTCATGCCCCCTTGGATCATTGCACATGCCTCGCGAGACCAAGGTACATCGGAGTCCTTGCAGCGGACGGTAGATGTGTATGATTGCAGCAGGACAGCGAGGTGATTGTCTCCGCCTAGTCCAGCTTTTAGTACGATGTCACTCTGTAGGTATACTCCTCCATTTGCACCGACCAATATTGATAGCAATACCCCCGGACCTCGGTGCACACCGTTCAATCAACGCATAACTCGCTTCAGCGATGTTCTTCGGGCTTGCACTTGCCGTGTCGTAAGGCGCTATGATCTCTGAATCGATGCGGCATTTGCCTTTGCCTGCCTCTACGATCAGCGATAGTAATCTTTGCCCGCGATAGTAGTGGGCGATTGGAAAGAACCGTGATAGAAGGGAGGACGTACCTCCCAAGGCTCTCTGCGGCAGTCCGATATCTTGAGGCAATCCACTGCCTCGCTGTGCTATCCGTGAGACTCTTTCGTTCGTTCGCTGGATGTAGCTGTATGCGTCTCTGCAGTCTCGGAAATCTAATCGACGGCCGTAGCGTACGTTGCACTGTAATCCTATGACGTTACCGCTAGGTGTTATCTCCCAAAATATGGGCTTATCGGCGTCCAGACCTAGAGCTCTGAGTGCTGAAAATTTGGCTGGTAGAGATGGTGGATGGGCAGGAGTGAAGGACTTGTTGGACCAGGATATGGACTGTTTCGATGGCGAGAGCAATTCGAAGAGGTTCGATGAAGATGTCGATGTATCTGAAACGATAGCGATGGAACCTTGTGGAGCTACATTCAGCGTTGAAGCTGCTGAGATGAAGCCGCTTAGACATGCGATGTAGTGCGAAAGCATGGCTTCAGGAGTACAAACTTGTCGAGGGAACGGTTGTAAACGGTTTGAATAGACTGAACGAAGTCTGTGATACCACATCCAATGGGCTATGTATTTTGACGTTACCAGATACCGGCTGCGCGACTTCAGCGCGGTTAGAGCCATAGAAGCGGTCATTAAGAGCGCAGTACGGAGTACTTTGATGCGCAGAAGCGGCCCACCAAATTCGAGATTTCTTGTGAGGATTGTTTTTCTTGTCAAGCCCTTCGCCTGGAGACGGTCGAGGTTTTATGTCTCGGATTAAGCCGCTCGGAAGGAAGATCGGGTTAATCGGAATACTTCCTCGGCGTCCGTACCCTAAGGATCTCCTCCCCTAGTCCCGACCAGCTTGGACTGTTCGATGATCTTATAATCATTCAGTGCGCCAGCGGTGCAAATTGGCTCCTGTCAGATGAGCCCGTTCCTGGCATAGAAAGCTAAAGTAGAGTAGCAAGACCCAGCAGTCGCAATTGTGCCACACCAGGTTCTCCTCCTGTGAGATAGCTTTATGATGTTTCAACATCGGCCATGCCCTCTGCAGCGACCTCAAGAAAGAGATTCTTGTTCGTCCCTGCCGACATCAGTCAATGCTCGAATTTCACCCAAGGTCTCAAAGGGGCAACTCACCAACTTGGGAGTGCAAGCCTTTCTTCCCTTGTCTCGCGCACATGGCAGTAACGAACGTCGCTGTCTCCCATACCCTATGCCACGACTCACTATCCGATGGGCCAGAGGTCCGAAGAGTCATGATGCACTTGTTATCCACTGCAGACCTCACATTAGCTATATGGTAATGTCGAGTCTTCGGAGCAGCTTTGCTCACCGGAATACCAAGTATAAGGCAACTTCACATTGACGCCTACGCCTCCCGTCCCGAAAGTCCTCACTTCTTTGCTGACATCCATCTTATCCATGATACTTTGGCAAGAGTTGACTATGCCCATGACGGCAGCACTGCCGTAACAACGAACGTTGGGTGTTTGTTTGGCAACGATGACACCCAGCCTGCCATCCCCTGAGGCTCTATTAGTCCTTTGCCGGAGAAATGGAAGTGGCGCACTCACCAAGCTCCTTCACAATCCCACCCTCGTTTGGACTCTTCTGCTCAACGCATTGCTGAATCACCGTGTTGGCTCCCATTGCCATATCTTGCAAAGTGGCGAGGGCGAAAGTGGAGCGTGGCCCAATAAGCGCTGCGATGATGCAGGTGCCGTCCGCTGCAAAGTGTATTTCAGCAAGGGACCTTTATAGCCAAAGGTCTCGATGATCACATACAGCTAACCCACCGCTGAGGCATGGGAAAGTCGTATGTGACTGCAGTACCGCGAGGTCCCCAGGTAAAAAGACTTGTCGACAGGTCCCCGATGGCAAAGGCTGCAGATTGGCAGCTTCGTGGATTCAAGTTGGAGCCAAAGCGATCTAGGCACATGAATTTGGGTTCTGCCGATACACTGTTCAACACGAGCGTAGAGTTCGTCATGGATAGAGACGAGGCAGTCATTTCGGATGATGCTTCGTCAAGCCAGGCGGACGAGGCTGCCGTATCCGAAGTTTCATTAAGAGAGTTGTTTCCCCCAGAAGGCTGCGGATGGCTTGGTTGAATGTCCAGCGGAGAGATTGGCACCAGCGCCTTAGCAGCTCCAGCAACCAAAAGCAGAGAGGCAAATAAGCACATGTCTCATGTCAGTATTATGATCAGCAACGGTTTGATAGCGCAACGGTAAAACAGTATGTTCTGCTCAGATGCAAATGTGACCCATTAATCGATAATTTCATTCATTACTGACAATGCGGCTCTGCGCCTGAAGCAAGGCTTTCCGCCAGGCGACGCATCATTCGCAACAGGAAAGTCTCCACAAGGGTCCGAGCATCATGTTTTCTTGGGACAAGCGCGAGCCTTTGATGCGCCTGTACAGCCGGTCCGAATGCTACTCGTAGAGTGAATTTGTCCGCCTTTCCTTTCTGGGAAGAGTTGCCATGACTCAAAGACATTTGCTTCCTTCTCCTACAACTCATTGAAGCGCCTCAAATCCATCGGCTTTTCAAGTAATGGCTCGACATACGGATTGAACGTCTTCCAGTATGGATTCTGCGTCATTGGATTAGAGTAAGAACGGCCCTTGCCAACAAGCTGCGTCATTGACCGCGAGGGTAAAGCTTCAACGTACCTCGAGATGATATTTCTGGCTCTATATCCGGCAACTCATCAGTACATTTCTACGCCTGCCCATTTTGAGGGCAGCTGAAAGCATCCGCAGAAGGAGAAAAGACCGACGTACGCTCTCATGCTCGTAGCGTTCTACAATGGTAAAGGCCCTCTTGTCTTGATTATCCTGCATCACAAACCAAGAAATTGTCTCCTGGTCCTTGCTGTACACATTGCTAGCTTCGACGAGCTTGTCGTGCAACTTCGAGATGGACTCTGCGGAATTCTTGGCGTAGAGGTGGACTACGATAGTGTAGACCATGTTTGATATCGCGATTGTCCTGGTGATGTATTGATTATTGTCGTGAGGTTGTTTCTGTGATGTTCGGAAGCTGCGGAGGGGAAGAAGGACATGGGAAGCAAAGAAGGCACTACTATCTACCTAGGCCGGATCGAGGGAAGTGCCCCGGGCGTAAGGAGCTGTTCTGGATACTCCTGTGGTACTGTCAGTGGTCAGCCTGGTGCTGAAGCTCTGTAGAGTACTCTACGATGATCAACGACCTGCTTCAACGCCACAACAGCAGCAGTACAGCACTCACTCTACACAAAACCTAATCTCGCTGCTGTGACGTGTAAGTAACTCAGTATTGATGTAGGTATGTAATCAATGTTTATGGTGTTTCATTGATTTCTCTTAGGCGCGTAAAGTTGCAAATTGCCCGGGACGGCGGGAAGGCGCAGCCGGGCACCCCCTGCCGCTGTCAAGATCTGCAACACCCCTTTGATCTGCATATGTAGACCATAATCCTTCCGCACAATGTTAATGACTGCTCGGTTTCCTAGCCTTTCATCCAAACGGGCAATGAAAAGTATGCATCCTGCTACCACAGCCTGATAAAAGGACATACTTCGCCTCTATGCCAAGTCTCCCGGAGGCGAGGAAGAGCGTGTGTACGAGGGTGCGTTACAATTTTCGACGTGGTGATTGGGTACCGACAACCTCATATCTTTCACCTCTTGAACCATACATGAGAAATGCAGCTTCCTCAGGAACGCTGTCGAATCCCCTTTAATGTGCATTGAATACTTGAAGAAACCATTCAGAAGAGTGGCTGGCTCTCCTTCAAAATCTCACTGTGGACTACATCTAGGGTTGAAACTCTGGACGAAGTATGACTAGAGTATGGCAGATTTGAGGCGCTATGATTGGTTTTTCATGATCTGAGCAGCCTATCCTTCGTTTATTTGGCGTACGAACCTCTTGAAAGTTGCTTCCTATATCAGCGAAAGTAGAGCCGTGTACTCATCTGCTAGGACCCAAAAAGGACGATGGCGAGTATCAATAGAAACTATCTATCACAACAGCAATATCAGCATTCTGGACACACCTCCATCACGGTCGGGCTAGATTCCGGCAAACGCCAAAGCGAGTACCCAATTACGCGTTTCTCGATCCTTTGCTTTGCTGACCTTCAAACCTCACGTCGGGCATGGCTCAGCCGCAGTCCTCGAGTGCTAAAACCTGCAAGGATCTGGCGTCAGCACACCCCTTTTGTCTTGAAACTCTAAAGACATCTGGCATCTATCATACAATTTCCCATATGGACTACGTCCGGCGTCCTTGTCGCCAATACCAGCACGAGGAAGAGGTCCTTACAACTTCTGAATTATCTGCGGACATTGCGTGCAAGTATACATAACATGACCCTACCCAAAAAGAACCTGTTGCCGACCTGGCTGGCATTTGCTCGTCGTGGACGGGTATACGCATCACTCGATGCCGACTCAGAGCCCAGTACATTGGAGATGTCAAACTTCAGCGAGTCAGCGTTCGTTGCCTAAAAAATACATCTGAAACTGACACTAATTTTGAGAGCGAAGATCAATTCCCGGACATAACTCTTCCTCCTCGACAAACCTCAATCAGTATGCTTCGAACAAAGACCTCAACAAAGTATTGCCCAGGCCACCGAGTCGGATACACTTTGTCCGTCACTGTCTCAAGTCTCTATACTATCATCGACTAAGAAAGCTGGAGGGATACCATTTCGGTGTACTTTGCTGTGCAGTGGTCGCCGCCGTGGTCCTCGTCATCAATCTCATCTTGACGATATGGGCAGTTTCAATATCTGGGGTCCAGAACGGCCTTGGAACTCTACATGATGGAAGCTGTAAAAGGACGGCGACCCTTACATTTTGGACTCATCTTGCTATCAATGTTCTTAGTACGTTGCTCTTAGGTGCGAGTAACTACAGCATGCAGTGCCTATCTTCCCCTACGCGCAGCGAAATCGATAAGGCTCATGGCCAGGGGGTCTGGTTAGATATTGGGGTCCCCAGTGCAAGAAACTTGCGAAGGCTTTCGACAATCCGAACTATTCTCTGGTGTTTGCTTGCTATCTCATCCGTACCTCTACATTTACTGTATAACAGTGCAGTGTTCTCCAGTCTGTGTACCCGTCAGTATTATGTTTTTTTGGTGTCGAGCGAATTCTTAGACGGGGCACCGTTCAATGCGCCTCAAATGGATGATTCGAGTGCGACGACTATTTTGCAGGACTACCAAAACAACCAGACGTCGTTGCTTAAACTCGAGAATAAAGCATGTGTCGAGGTTTACACAGCGCCAATCATCTCCGCGAATTCCGACTTAGTTCTGGTCTCTACCTATTCAGACTCCAACAACTCTCTAATCTACTGCGATTACAGTCAAGACTCGCAGTTGGTTGAGGGTAGCTATCAGCGTTACGAGATTTGTTCTTTGCCCCTACTAAGGAATTGCGATCCTTCCGGTGTTATCGCTAATGGTCACAACTGGTCAATCGACGCATCTGACACACATGGAGCAAACGATTATACTCCAACGGGGACTTCACAGGTCAACGAAACGAGCATTCAATACTGTCTTAGCAAGGGCGTAGAGGAGCATTGCAAGCTACAATTCAGTCTAGCGATCATGATTGTCGTCATCATATGCAATCTGATAAAGACTATTTGCATGAGCATAATTGCATGGAAGCAAGACCCTGAGCCACTAGTGACTCTTGGTGACGCAATTGCCTCATTCCTCGACCGGCCCGACATGACGACTGAAGGAAATTGCATAGTCGGGAAGACTCGGTTCGAGGACAGCAAATCTTGGCACTTGCTTCTCTCCACTTGGGATCCGAAAGGATTACGTTGGTTTCGAGCTGCCAGCCAAAGAAGATGGCTCGTTTGTAATATTCTGTAAGTTTCCGTATGACTTTGTTTCTATACGAAGCTAGTCGCAATGCTTCCACCTAACAATAATGTCTGGGATGACTCTACATTCTGTATCACGCAATGCAGATATCCCTTCCTATCATCAGCTTACAAAGGATGATGCATATCACTGAATATTTCATCTTGGGCGCATTGCTGACTGCTGAATGCGCACTAGATGTATCTCGACTCTCATAGTTGCCTGCGCCCTCCTAAGCTTAGGCCTTAACAACCCTCGACTAACCAGCCGGTCCATCTCTCACCTCTGGTCGCTCGGTTTCGGCAATGTCAACTCTGAAGCCTTGATCATCATGAACAACAGCCAAGACTTGTCAGGCCCTGCTGGCGTCATCTTCACAGTTCTAGTTGCGAATTCGCCTCAAATCCTCCTTTCCTTCCTATACTTCGCTTACAATGGACTTTTCACCTGCATGTTACTCGCCGACGAATGGAGCGCATACGCATCCAAAAGAAGATTCCTAAGAGTCACATCACCAACAGGAGGGCAGCGAAGCACCTATCGGTTGCAACTACCCTACCGTTACGGTATTCCACTCCTCATAGGCTCGAGTGCGCTACACTGGTTCGTCTCGCAATCCATCTTCCTTGCCCGTGTTAACGTTCTCGATTCCGCCGGGGTTGAAGTCATTGGTGATGGAGTCTCGACTTGCGGCTACTCGCCGATTGCCTTGATCTTTGTTATCATTCTCGGATCTATTGTTGTACTGCTGGGCATTGCTTTTGGCTTTCGAAAGGCTCGGGTCGGGATGCCTCATGCCGGTAGCTGTAGTGCTGTGATCAGTGCAGCTTGTCATCCACCGGAGGCAGACGTGGATGCGTCGTCGAAGCGCGTTATGTGGGGCGTGGTGGCTAAGGAAAGCTTCAAGTATCGGGGCAAGAGTGTTGGCCATTGCTCCTTTACCAGTCTCAAGGTGGAGGCGCCCATCGTGGGAGAACGGTACGCTGGGCAATAGACACAAAGAGGAAGATTGCTGTACAATATCATCCCTGCTTTCCTTTCGCTATATAGTCTTGCATTTGTCTCTACATCTTACATCTTATCTAACAACAGACAACGCAATCGAGATTTCCCAACAGAAAACTTTGCAGTGCTATCACACAAAAATCACTGCATATTGAATTGACCTCCTCATCTCAATTCACTATGTCCTGGACAGGTGTCACCAACCTCACTCTGTCCATTGAGTCCTTTATTCACATTGCGTCAAATCAAGTCACTCGTCAAACCAGACCGTTTCCATCGAACGAGGCATTCCTTGCTGGATCTTCCACTTGAACCATGATCTACATACACCCTTTGCACTACGGTTTCGTCTTCCTAATTCTCTAGACAAGAGAGTGAGGGAGCAAGGAGTAACGGGCATCGATGCAACTTATCGCGTATAGTAAATCTCCATGCGAAGGTATACGCACAGTTCGTCGAACCGATCGAGTCAAGGGCTAGGTAGTGCAGGCCTTGAGTAGTCGTATGGCTAGAGAGAGAGAGAGAGAGAGAGAGAGAGAGAGAGAGAGAGAGAGAGAGAGAGAGAGAGAGAGAGAGAGAGAGAGAGAGAGAGAGAGAGAGAGAGCAAGGCGGCGCGGGCATCTGCTGTGCGCCTGCTTAGGATATTCAAGGAATCAAAGAACGGTAGTAAGTCGGTCACACCTACTGCTCCTATACCCACAATCTCACAACCCGACAATGATACTACCACTCAACACCGATTGCTCATCAATCATCCATCATTCCACAGGACACTTCACCACATTCTCCCCCCTTCCCTTCCCACCCCATCAAACCCCACTCCCACAACCTCCCCACCACCCCGCCAATCCCATCATCAAGATACCCACCCCTCCCAAAACCGCCCGGCCACTCACCGACGACCCGGTAACCCACCCCCTCAACCGATATCTCCCCGCGATGATTCCATCCATCAGCTACTCCCCATCGTCGTAGCTTCTCCATCGAGCCTCCCCGACGTAGGTAGTCCACGCCGTCGATACCGGCAACGTCTCCCGTAGGCGCCTGAAGCTGTCAGTGGATAGCTGGAGGCAGGTCTGGGGCGAAGAGGCACGGGATGGGAATAAAGGAGGGTGGGTGGAGGGGGCCGAGCTGGGCGGATGAGGGAAGGGGGAGGAAGAAGGGATGGATGGATGTGAAGGAGGGAGTGGGAAGAGCGAGAGAGTCGAGAGTTGAGGAAGCGAGGCGAGAGGACAGGGCGTCGCGGAGACGACGTTGATGTCCTTGAATATCGTATACGTGGCTGCCGCTTTAGCACTACTGCATGTAAAGACTCGAGCTCCGGAAGTCTGTGCGTCAGGACCACTTTCGAAGCGAGGTCTACCGCACAGCGCTGGATCGAATGCCGAAGGAGGGGTGTAAGAGACGCGCATGTGATGGTTTTTCGTAAGCGGGTGTTCGGGCACCTGCTCGATGCACGGCTCGCTGGCAAGCCACCGCGCTGCTAGCCCCTATTGTGGCTCGATGTAAGTCTGCTGGTGTAGTCAGCAAGGAGGCAATGGGAAGCAGGTGTTGGTGCAATCGGCAGTGATGGGAAGTCGCGTCAGTCAGGAAACGAGATCGTAAGTCAAGGGATATCATTGATTCAATAATGCATTCGTCATCCAAGAGACAGCTATTGTGTCCGACCATTCGGCCGGGTGTATACCCAAGAACCCGCTTCGCTAAATGAGTGCGCTACAACCAAGTCATCAATCGTCTCCACCTTCCGGTAATCCTGGAGGTCTCATCTCCGGATCAGGCCAATCATCGCCTTCACCCAGTCCAGGCCACTCCCTCACCTCATCAGGATCGAGCTGATCCTTGATAACGCAAGGATCACTGTAGCGCCCTTGGCATACTTTTCGTCTTCCCAGGTGTTTGAACCTTGGGCCAAGTGGACCATTAACGTAGTGATACTCGCCGGCAAAACCGTATTGTCTGTTGTCATTCAATGGATAGAATTTGTCGCCCCATTTCCCCGAGAAGTAAAACCATTGAGTGGGAGCGTCAGGTGTTCGATTGGAAGGGTGCAACGTATCCGTAACATGATTATACGTGTATGTGAGAGAATTAAGAGCAGGATCCCAAAGCGGGCCGCGATCTGTTTCGTCGTGGAGGATTCCGAGAGGGAGGATATACGGATGAGTACCTGGCGTTGCGTACATTGCATGGGTCCCAACTGCAGAATAAACAACAGGCTATTTCACGTCAGCGGGCGGGGTCGATCAAAGACCATTCCATACTTACTCTATTTCCAATTTTCTCCACGGCAGAGTAGCTATAGGCCGACCCAAAAAAATGTTCACTGACGAAGACGACTTTGGGTTTCCCATGCTCAAATCGGATAAGAGTATGCTCCCAATCGCCAATGTGATTGCCAAATCGGATATTGAAAACGATGTTGCCCAGGTTGTAGCTGTAGAAGAAGAACCAAAAAGCATCCACAATCCCGTCGCCCTTGTTAATCGTTAAAAGAACAGCTGGGGCATCACTGTGCCCCCCATGGCTCTGTTTCCGAAATCTGGCGCTAGTAGCTCGAGAGTCGGAGCAGTCAGTCTTCGAATCGTCACTGAAATCATCAGGTATGTTAATCTGCCCTCCAAGCCAATCTGGTCGATCCTCAACGTTGTCATTGCTCGTCAAGAAGACATGGCGCCCCTGTTCAAATTCGTTCAGCTGGTCGAGGTTTGATAGGTTCAGCTGTGGTAGCCCTTGTATAGGTGTGTAATTCAGCTCTGGCGTGACATGAAACAGATGCTCCTTGATGTCACACGGCCAGAATTGTTCCTCTGAGTACAAGTGGACTAATGGTGCGTAGTCGAGGACGTATTGAGGGATCTCATGCATCACGCGAGGGTCTTTGGCCAGATCTTCTGGCCTTGTCCTGATATCGATGACCGAGGGATCTTGCCAACCAAGATGGGAGCCACACATTTTCAACCAAGCGCCAACCTGACCCCTGAGCCGGGTAGGTATGACCGGAACGGTATGCGGAGTTGTGAAGATGAAGGCTACCAAGATGAAGCCTAGCAAGATTGGTAATTTCACAGAGGTTCTGCGGTTCTTCATTGCAACATCATGGGAACGTCTGCATGGCGATGAATAATTCTGCGGAGCTTTCTCGACACCGTCACCCTCTTTCTCCAAAATCATAAGCACGGCTTCCCGGGATACGTTCTCCCCATCACCGAGCCCACCATCCAGTGACCTAGGTGAACGGCCCATTGCGGTCTTTTACCCCCCGTTTATGTTCTGCACCACGACGATCACTCCCTCTATTCCTAATGTAGTATCGGCGAACTCATCAAAGGCCGGTCATAGTAATACACCACGAGACTGTGGACAATAGGATCCGAACCTATGAGACAAGATAATGTCAGCAACTGCACGTACCTTGAAGGTGGGACTGAGTGTTTTTTCCCAGCAGAGCATGATACGAAGCTTCAGGCGGTGCTCGGTCTGAGCAGTGACCGTGATGCGGATACGGGCGATGATTGGATGATGATTACGCGCAAGGTGTAAAATGTACCTGATGACGGCGAAAAGCAATAGGAGATTGGCGGATACTCACGCATTTTGCTAATACATATTGGAGAATATAGCCATAATAGCCTGTTCGTGCAGCTGATGAATGGTAGTAATATGCCAATGCAATGTGTACACAAGATAATGCACGCTTACACCATTCAATGGGCCAAGCTTTGAGGCTTGCAGATCACCCGAGGTTCCCGGATTCGCGATGCTTGACAGGCTTGGCAAATGCTTGACTGGACGGCACACACTACACAGGCTTTTCGACCGTCATTTGTGAGGCGAGGTTGGGCTGTTACTGGTGTAAATGTGGTCAACATGGGCTCTGCCTAGGATCTTCGGCAAAGATTTGTCTCTACAAGATGGACATCCGAAGTGTAAGAAGACTCACTGTGTTGGATGGTGGTGGCAGCTTTCCTACTTAATACCCCGTTAATTCACTTTCTGTCCGACATTATTCTTTTCGGAAAGGAGAACAAATCTCTATCTTTCTTCTAATTCAACTAACATGGCGGGAATCCATTTTGCAGCGGAGGAGGACGACTCAGATTGGGATTACGAGTACCATGAGACGGAGACAGAGGTTAGCAATCTTGCCCCCCAGTGCCGTTCTTATAGCTGACGGCGGCCGCCAGAGCTTCTATGTAACCTTGGACATCTCCTCAGCTGCGGACTACAACAAACTTCGCACCAGAAAGAGAAAGCCAGAAACATCGCCGCCAAAGTCTCCTCAGCCAGCTACGTCGATCGCACCTACAACTCCCGTAGCCCAAGACAATGCAGGCCCGTCAGAACCACCCGAAATTCCAATACCAGAGACACCAGCGCCTATGGATATCGATCCAACCCTGGGCCAGCCCAAAGAATATCCATCGCATTTCGAGCCCAAAGACCGCATCCAAATCCTCGATCTCCACACCCAAAATCCTCTTATCTCATACCAAAATCAGATGTACTCCTGCGATTGGACATCAACCCTTGGTACAGATCTCCTACTTACTGCTCCCATGCCCGACTCCTCTCATCCCGTTCTTCGAGAAAAGCCAAATGTGTCCGTTCTGGCAACGTCAAGCATCAAGCTCATGGGCAGACCAGCGCAAATAGCTAGTCGCCATAGTGCTGAACAGGGTGGTCAATCATCGACGCCAGCACCTGAGAGTTCAATCGCCTCAGCCAACACTGCTAGCTCAGAAAAGGCTACGCCGGTTAAGATCTCCCTCGGCGCAACACCCAGCCGCGCTCGACAAAACCAAGCCAACTTCCTCGAACGCCTCATTGCCATCAAAGCCAGGAAAGGGGAAAAAGACAGCGTAACGATCCACGCCCAGCAAGTGAACCAGGGAACCGGATGGCGGAGTCAGCGAAAAGCCAGCGAGGCTATTGGAGATGGAAACGATGAGATTACACCAACGCAAAGTCAGAGAGGGAGGGACACGGGCGGAAGACCAAGGGGTAGCAAGCGGACTAGAGGGCCACGGACAGCGAAAGGGGGTTTGTTCAGGGACTATCGGCCGCAATTGTGGGATACGCCGGGAGCAGACATCAGAGCTGGTCCCTCGTCAACGCCAGACAACTGGGATCAATTAGAGGGTGGAGCAAGCGATGGTTTCCAGACGGCAGCATCCAGGATTGCCGATGCGTCTCCGTTACCCGCTGATCAACCAGCGCAAGCGGCGAACAGAAGCACTAGGTCGCTCTCTGCGTCTGCTAGCGCTAATGCTTCCCCCATACCTTCATTTCGGCCAGTACAATCAATACATGGCGATCCTAGCTCTTCCTATGCATTGGCCGCTGCGAGCCCTTCTCTAGCGCTGGCATTGGGGCTACAACCAGCGGGGTTGATGGAAAAGAGCGTTATACCTGCTTCCGGAGTACCAGATACCGAACCCTTGCAGCAGAACCAGGCGCAGGATGCGATTGCAGAACAGGGCACACCGGCGCCGGAAACGGCAACTGCTGCTTTGGAAACTTCTGGCATGGCAGCAGCCGACGATGTCGAGATGACGGATGTACGATAGAACCAAGTCTGCCCTTCTACATAATACCATTTGATCATTGAAAGCAGACTTTCACATTTATCTGATAATCAATGTAACACACCTACTGCATTCAAGGCCCAGGATCCCATGATGTCAGATTTCCATTTCAAGAAACCTCAACTGGATTCGTCTCAAGAACTTTATGTCCATACGTTATATTTGCAGTGGGTTAACAGTCTCGACGATCCTACCAGCTCGCCAGGCAGGCGAGTCGAGATAGGCCCAGTAGAGACCATGAGTTTTGGAACGGTGATCTATTTATTTCTATCTGAACCAGTTTACTGCTTTATTCTGATACACTATCAAGTGCTACTCAAGGGGTGTGTTGTGAGACCCTCGTAGACCAGATCAACTAGTTTGGCTGCAAAGCGAAGGTATGTTCTGCGCACGAGTTGGGGTTCCGTGATCATTAGGCTGCGGGTATCTTGTAGAAGCATTGTGGCTGAGGACCAAAGGTGGAGACATTGCGTCCGTCAAGTGCTGAGAGATCTAGGACAGCGATCATGATACGGCATGTGGGACACAGGCATGATACTTAACGAATTTGACAAACCAGACTCAATGGGCTACTGAAACATATAGTCCAAGGACCCAGACTAAGCTATCTACATATTGCTGCAATGTAAAAGTCAGAACACTACCGCGTTTCCCCATGACCACCCAGTATACTCTGAGGCGACTGTAGGATGACCGAAGAGGGCGATTGCAGGAGGAAGTCTTGATCGGAAGGAAAGGGCGGAGGTAAGAGAGAAGGAGGGACGCGGGTTAAGACGAGGACGAGGAGCGGAGGTAGACGGCGAGGTTACGGTAGGTGGAAGGGAGGAGGTTCGGCGGCAGGAGTGTATAGCAAACTTATGTTGAGGTGATCTGGGTCTATGGAAGGGTTCGTCTCGATGGTACAGGATACGGAAGCTCCGCCGTCGGATCGAGAGGTAGAATCGAGCTGCTAACCATTAAGCCTTCTTAATCTACCCAAACTCCGGCATACTTTGCTTTTGAGTTGAAAGACAGAGGGGTCCACGCAAAAGGAGATGAGAGCCCAATACTTGACCTATGTAAAGACCCCATGCCTACACTTTTGTTGCCATACAAGCCTTAGATCCGAACACCTTTGGTGCGATCGAAACCACTACTGACGAATCTCTGAGGGCATGTCTGTGAAAGCTGTCTACTCGGCGGTATCGAGCTCGTCATGAGCAGGGACGGGAGATCCCACGTCGACTGGAAGAGATTGATCAGTGTACTTTCCAATTCCTTCACTACGGGTAAAGCTACCTTTGCGGTCATCTCCATTGGCATTGTCACGGTCGTCCTCAATGTCGCGACGACGATCTACATCCTTCATTTCGCGGTCTCTATCGTCTGGGCTTCGAGAGCGGTCTCGGTCACGCCTATCGTAGTCGCGCTCACGACGCTCGTCTTTGCGAGGAGAGTAGTCGCCTCGGCCACGACGAGGTGGAGATGCCGATCGACGACGAGGAGAGCGATCACGACGACTGCCTGGACCACGGTCACCACCCCGTGCGTCACGGCCGGAGTCAAACCGCCAGGATGCGGAAGGAGGCGTACGGGCCCACTGAGTTGCTGATTAGCTTTGCTCGAAAGAGGGGGATTGATTAGATGCTTCGTACCTCAATTTTCAAGACATCGTCACGCCCGAGACGCTTGTTGTGCATCTCATGATAGGCATCATCTGCATCACGGCGACTCTCGTATTCGACGAAAGCGAATCTGCTGGCCGTGTGAGTACGCACATGACCTTCGCGGCAGCCACAGTGCCATGCCTGGGGGACATACAGTCTGCTTGCAGCGCTTCGTGGAGCGGGGATGTCGCAGCGCACAAGGCGTCCATAGCTAAAGGCGTGTTAAACTCGGGGCGGCTGAGGCGACGGGACGGCCGCAAGACGGAGACGGGAAGACATGAGTGGGCATCGTGCTGATCTATCGATGGTTTTGGAGGGTAGGCTAGGACGAGGGAAGGGAGATTCGTATGGACTATAGGCGTACCGTTCGAATTCGTAGGCCAGATCACGGGCTCGCGTCCCATGACCGAAGCCAGTGACGTAGAGGGTTGTACCACCTCCTCGCGACATGATGAGGATGAGGTGAGTTTTTAGTGCTGGCCAGAGAAAGATTGAACAATGTTCTGGATGCCTGTGCAATGGAAGAGGTTGAAGTCAGAAATCGGCCGAGATTCGTCGAACACTCGACAGGTTGCTCCGCTACGCTAGCGCACGATGAGTTAGCGTTCCAGAAAATTCAATTACGTGGAATACTTGCGTTTTGCAAGGAAAAAAATCCTATGAATCCGCCCAGTGTCTTCCAAGTGATAGGCACGTACTGACTTAATAGGTTGATATCTTACCCAACAGTCTGCTTGAAATTCAAGGCGTTCTCTTCAATCGCTGCAATCCGTGGGCACAGCCCGAAACGGACCAAGCTTTTCAAGGGGCCCAGAACCAAAAATAAGGCTACCTTAAAGTACTTTCTGCTCCGTACGGACGAACTGAAAACAACTCAAACACGCTCAAAGCAAGTTGCATTTCATGGAATCAGCTTTCGATCGCGAAGAGGTAGTGTCGTTTGTATATTCGCCGCGTCGGCCACACCTGTATGACTTCCTGGCGAGAAGCTCCCAAGGTCTGCGCTGCAGTTTGTCACAACCTCAAAGTTCATCGAACCACCGCATAATACATACATTCCTTGCTTCACATCGAGGTTGAGAGGGTTTGGGACTCGGGAGTCTTTCGCGATGAGTGTCGATCGGAAAGCGCCTTCGCCCGTGGCAAGGGTAGAAGGCGAGAAGGTTTGGGTAGAAGGGCAGGAGTCCCACCGTCCTCCTCCACTGTCAAGAATGATACAGTTACGGCATACAATCGCTCAGCCCGTTCTCGCTGCTTTTCTGGCCGGGGGTGTAGCCGGAGCCGTCTCCAGAACGGTTGTGTCACCACTCGAGCGCCTCAAGATTCTGTTCCAAATACAGAGTGCTGGGAGGACGGAATACAAGTTGCCTGTCGGGCAAGGTCTCATGAAGATGTGGAGAGACGAAGGCTGGAGAGGGTTTATGCGAGGTAACGGCGCCAATTGCATACGGATAATACCCTATTCTGCTGTGCAGTTTTCGAGCTACAATTTCTACAAGAAGGTAAGCAGGCCAAGCTAGGGCAAAATTTGTCGTTGCGGCCCAATTTTTCTGTATCAGAGCCATGTTAATCAATGTGCGAAACAGTTCGCGGGAATTCAGCAAGGTGTCCCTACAGCGCCGTGGAAGAACCTCTTGTGCGGAGGGCTCGCAGGGATTACCTCCGTGACCTTCACCTACCCGCTCGATCTCGTGAGGACTCGGCTTTCTGTGCAGACCGCAGATTTCAGTGGGCTCTCAGAGGCCGAAAAGAAGAATATGCCTGGGATGTGGAAGATAATGGTCAACGTATATAAGACCGAAGGGGGCATTCTGGCCTTATATGGTGGCTACATTCCGACCGTAGCTGGTGTTGCACCATATGTGGGTTACGCCCCGTTACAATTCATTGTATCTTCGGCTGACGTATCTAGGTCGGACTGAACTTCATGACCTACGAGTGGTTGAGGCAGTACTTGACACCTGAAGGTGACAAGAATCCATCAAATTGGCGAAAGCTCCTTGCAGGCGCCGTTTCAGGAGCCATCGCTCAGACTTGCACGTACCCTCTGTATGACATTCTCTTCGCGCTCCTTAAGATGATGACTGACCTTGGCAGTGATGTTCTCCGCCGCAGGTTTCAAATCAACAAGATGAAAAGCATGGGCTACAAATACAAGGGGATCTTCGACGCCATTAGAATTATCGCTTCTCAAGAGGGCTTCCGTGGTTTCTATAAGGGCATCGTACCAAACCTGCTCAAGGTCGCCCCAAGCATGGCCAGCAGCTTCTTGAGCTTTGAAGTGACTAGAGATTTCTTTGTTCGCATGGGAGAAGACGACGATGCTTAAAGGATTTACAGCTACACCAATATAGCGAACGTCATCGATATACGATCATGCACGTTACGGAGGGAAGATACCCAATAAAGATACTCAGGATTTGATTTTTATGCGAATATCTCGCGCACTGTTTCGAGCATGGCTGGCAGCATCTGGGATTGATATCGAGCGGCATTGGGAGCATGCTTGTTGTGTTGGTCTAAAACGATCAGGAAGCCTTTTGTTCATGAGGGCCCCTGCATTTGGAGAGGTAATGCTAGAGTAGATAGGTCCAGTATACATGTAAAATAGGGCTCTTCAGCAAAACCTTGAGAAGACAGCACAGAATTGAAGATTTGAACTATAACCAAGATGAATAGTAAGTAGCCGCTCTGATATCAACGTTAGACTGCCGTGCATCGCAAATCAAGTGTTTTCCATATCACCACTGAACATTCAGCCCTACTGCGGGCCAAATAAGCGAGCCCACGCAAAGATATCGCGCTAGCAGAAAGCGTAACAAATCCGCACTTCGAGCTCATCTTCAGCATCGACAACAACCATCCACAATCAACAACTGCAAAGATGGGTGAGTCCCTCATTCCGATACCATCAGTTCTGTTCAACGTTTCAGCTTCAAGTGCTTATGCTCTCCTGATCTCGGACGCAACCAAGGGAGCTTCAACGATGCCCATCTCTAGGCCTGCAACTGAAATGGGAGACAAGAAAGCTGACCAAGTTGCAATCCTACAGGTATTGACCTCGACAGGCATCATGTGCGCAGCACGCATCGCAAAGCGCCAAAGAGCGACAATGTCTACCTTAAGCTGCTTGTCAAACTCTACCGCTTCTTAGCTCGTACGTCCTATCCTACCTCAGCTATCCCATACTTCCACCCCCTTCAATTCTATATCCTAGATGCAACAATCTCATGCACCTTTTCTGACACCAATAATTCAGGCAAAACCGACTCAAACTTCAACAAAGTCGTTCTCCGCCGCCTTTTCATGTCCCGCACCAACCGTCCCCCACTCTCCCTCAGCCGGCTCTGCATGCTCGCCTCCCGCGGCACCCGCGAAAAAATCGCCCCAACGGAGAAAACCATCGTCGTCATCGGTACCATCACTGACGACACCCGCCTGCTGAAAGTGCCCGAGAAACTCACCATTGCGGCCCTCCACTTTACGGCTACCGCGAGAGCAAGGATCGAGAAGGCGGGTGGGGAGTGCTTGACGATGGATCAATTGGCGCTCAGGGCGCCGACGGGGAGTAACACGTTGCTGTTGCGGGGACCGAAGAATGCGAGGGAGGCGGTGAAGCATTTTGGGTTTGGGCCGCACAAAGGGAAGGTGAGTCTTGCTCTGGCCTACGGATGGCTTTGGAATCGCTCAGAGACTTGAGAACGTGTTGGCTGACTTGTGCAACAATGCAGAAACCCTACGTTGAGAGCAAGGGCAGGAAGTTCGAGCGTGCTCGTGGAAGGAGACGATCTAGGGGTTTCAAGGTCTAGATGGTGGCTACGATGTGACAGCTATCTGTGCTCTAGGCTCGATTGCAAATGGATGGGTGGACGAGTGGACAGCTTGCTACGGGCCTCGCTGGGGATGGAAGGTCGAGTGGAGCAGTCAGTGCAATTGCAAAAGGTCATGGCTTCCCAGCTAGCAATGGACAAATTCCAAACCTCTATGTTCCAAATCGCAACGTTGAGCTGTGAGACAAGGGCTACGGAAGCTGAAAAGGACGATTTCAATATTTCGTTTAGCACTTTTCCGGAGCCGGAACTCCTAATTCGTAAAACACTTTGATGCTGATTCCTTCACCCATCCAACGGCAACCGCTCATGCCTCCACCTCTTTCCCCCCTCCCCGTAATCACCCGCAACCTGCCCACACCCATTGATGCGATACTTATAAATCATCAAACCCTCCAGCCCCACCGGTCCCCTCGCGTGGATTTTATTCGTGCTAATGCCCACCTCGGTGCCGAAACCAAATCTCATACCATCCGCCATCCTCGTGCTCGTATTCCAGAAAACGCAGGCCGAATCCACGCCGGATTGGAACTGATTTGCTATCTCTGGGGAAGAGGTCAGGATGGCGTCGGTGTGCTTTGAGGAGTGGGCGTTGATGTGGGCGATTGCGAGACTGCAGGAGGTGCTGGCGGAAGCGTCGGGGGGCGTGGGGATGGTTTTGATGGCGAGGATCGGAGCGAGGAACTCGGTTGTGTAGTCTTCTTCCGTAGCGTCTTGAAGGATTGTTGATTCGTTCTTCGGGAGAGAAGCTGCGAGTGCGCTTTTGGATTCGGCATCGCAGCGAAGAGAGACGCCTTTCTCGAGAAGAGCTGATGCTACGGCCGGGAGAATGGTGGATAGGGCGGCTTCGTCGACAAGTAATGTCTCGACTGCGTTACAAGCTGCTGGATAGCCCAGCTTAGCATCAACTAGAATCTTAACTGCCATCTCCGGATCCGCATCCTTGTGAATGTATGTACTGCAAATGCCATCCGCATGACCAAGGACGGGAATGCGGGTGTTGTCCTTGATGTACCGGACCAGCTCGTTGGAACCACGCGGTATGACCAGATCGATATGCTTATCGAGGTCAAGAAGGGAAGCTATAACGTCTCGAGCAGTGACGAGTTGGATCGAGGCGTTAGGGACTAGGGTGTTGGTCAAGGCGTTGGAGATGGTCGTAGAGATGGCGCGGAAGGAGAGAGTGGTTTCCTTGCCGCCTGAGTTGTCAGTGCTGGTACCATGTGCTTTCATGTATGTAAGTACCTTTGAGAACAGCTGCGTTTCCAGATTTGATAGCTAGAGAAGCTATATTGGCGATGACTTCCGGACGTGCCTCAAAAATGATCAACAGAACTCCAATCGGGCATGTAAATCTTTGCAACTCAAGGCCGTCATCCAATCTTGTTCTTAGAGTGATCTTATTGACTGTGTCGTACACATCTCACAGAACCCATGCGTCACAGAATCAGAGAATCTTCTCCGCCGTCTACTGTGGTGCATGGTTCTGTAAGACCCTCCGTACGATCCATCAGCCTCCGTATACCGCACTTCATAGAAACCCCTCACCAGGATCTTCAAGGTCTCGAACGTCCAGTACGCCCTGCAGCATGTCTTCCCATTTGCCTTTCCTCCCCAGGTCCAGCCTCTTCAGCACGCTCTGACTCAGTTCCCCATCTTCGGCTGCCTTCGTTGCCAACTCCAGGTCCTTTGCGTTGGCTGCTAGAATTATATCTTTTGTCTCTTGCAAAGCCCCATGTATAGCTGTCAAGGCATCATTCCGAGCTTCGGTTGATAGTATGGCTAGGTTTCGAGAAGAGATTGAGGCTGCTTTAGCGACTTCCAGCGGAGATGAGTCTGTCAACGACATTTCCACGAAGGACACCAGCCTAGAATACTAGAGAAACACCGATCACTGAGAGACATATAACAAATGCAGCGTGCAAGGAAAGAGAGTCTGCCTTAGTGTACTGTTGAACTAGAGCAGTCGACTACTAGGGTCCTTTTGCAAGTAACAATCCTCGCTAGCACCGTTGCCTAGTACAAAAAAATGTCCTTGTGAGGCCCTTCACAATTAAAAACACAACTTCACAACTTCACAACTTCACAACAACAAAATGGGACCAGACAGCAATCCTGGTTCGCACGACTTGGTAGTGGTTTGGCTGGTTGGAACCATTATTCAACTGTCGACAGGGTTATTCCTCTATGCCCTAGATCAAAGTGACCTAAGTCTCGCTTACTCCCGCTTTTTCTTCGCGCTTTGGGTGATCTTCATCTTACTACTCATCAGAAGAATAACTTGGTACATCATCCCTTAGGTAGTTCCTAATGGTGCTTCAGCATTGCCCAAACAATCGTCCCCGCAAGACTTTAAAGATCCAGGGCACAAAGGCAACTACTACTCAACATGGACGCACTCCTCCCTCAGCTTCTCTCCTTCCCTCCTCATCCAGAACCTGCCAAACCAATATCAGATTCAGAATACGACAAACACATCAAGAACTTGGTTCAGCACATCAACACAATACCTGCAAGCAAGCTCATCTCGGGAGTCCCTGGAGGCGGCGATCTTCTAGATGTACGTATAACATCGTCGGGGATGAGAGCTTGCCTGGAGTTCTGACTGACATCATACTGGTGCACAGATCATCGATCCCTCGAAAAACACGCTCCCCTACCTCTACACATTACTCGCTCACATCGGTGGCTCCGCTGGCAAGCAGAAGTCGGGCTCAATATCAGATACATTCCATCCAGGATCAGCACTATGGCAGAAGATGTTGGACTTCATGGAACGCTTTGATGAGCGTCAAATAAGATACGCAGGCACTGAGCTTCGGCGGCTCATAGATGTTACGGCAATAAAAGCGGAGCGAGTGTCACAAGTAAGCTCTCAGTCTGCGAAACATAACTGAATATGCGCCTAATGACATTTTCAAGCCTTGGGCAGCTATCCCTCCTATTAGGTCCGCCATACTGCGCGTGGACGAGTCAAGCTCCACCTTCACATCGTCACATACCACCTTTGCCCGCTTATGCCTCGAAGCACGTGCTTACACCGCAGCGTTGCCCGTACTAGACCACAACATCTTCCACTTCCCACCTACCACAAACAAACTAGCTGAGAACAGCATGTTTCCTCACCTCTCTTCACATCACGACTCCAGTTCGACCTTCATCACACCAGACTCGGGCTTATCAGCTAAGTTGGAGTACCGACATCACCTACTCTACTTCCTTTACGGTGCCATGATATACATGGGCTTGAAGAAATGGAAGCGAGCACTTCTCTTCCTCGAAATCGTCATTATGTCGCCTGTGCTCAGTAATGTCAGTAAGATCCAAGTGGATGCCTACAAGAAGTGGGTGCTCGTCAGCCTACTCTACAAAGGACATGTAAGTGATACATGTACCCGAAAAGCATTACCAAAGCTCTTTCTGATAGTTTCATCCGCAGCCATTGGACTTGCCGAAAACATTAAGTCAACAGGCTACAAAGCAGTATCACGCAATTTGCAAGGCTTATGATGGACTGGCCGAGGTTTTCAAAGATGGTATCCTCAACGAGGAGTCTGACCAGAGACTCATCGCTGAAGCTACTGCTGGTGAAGCGTGGTGGGCTCCAGTCAGTCATCTTGTACCCACGCGAGCACAGAGCTCCTTTCTCGACTGCTCACTGACAATCACCAGGACTTCAACCGTGGCCTCATAGTACAAGTGATCGATGCCTTCCGCCAATTTTCCGTTGTACAGCTTGGAAAGACCTTTGCCGCATTGACGGTAGCTGACATCGCACGTCGCACGTCACCCGATCCCAACGACTATGCTGGCACTGGAGACTACGTGATCCACCTCATTTCTACTGGCGTTTTGAACGCTACCATAACTCAACCATCGAATGATCCAGCTTCCTGGATCTTACGATTTTCGGATTCTGCAAGCGGGCCACTGTCTCGTACAGAAGAGCAGCAGCACCAACACTTGGAGAAACAAACCCGAAAGATCAAGTCACTCATGGAGCACATTCGTGAAGCTGACCGAAAGCTGAGTCTCAACAAAGACTACATTGCGGAGGCCAAGAAAGCGAAAAAGACACGCCTGAACGATCTAGAGGGTGGCATGGACGAGGGCCCCTGGATGGCGCATAGCGGTGATGCTTATGAGCATGATGAGGATATGATGGCTGATCTGTGAGCGCTCGAAGCTCCCCTCAGTCACAGCCGATGTTTACACAATCATCTCGAGGGTTAATGAAAATGGCGGATAATGTCTTTATGAGCGTGCATGAGCGATGTTTCCAGCGAAATGCATAGCACTGGCGTATTGTGATCTATGCTCGCAGTTGCATAGATTAGACAAGAAGACGAATGCAGAAGATGTTTGCGAAGAATGCTATGGAAATGACTCTCCCATATGAATATCCTGATTGGCTCTCCAATCCTTCAATCACGTGACATTTAATTAGTGGCAAAATCGCGGATCTTCCTTCAAATTATGAGTTCATCGCTCTACTTGAGCTTCATCAACCACCATACTACGTACCACGATTCTCAATCCTCAATCCTGATTCAGTCCACATTCGCTGCCTCCTCACACCTACAGTCGCAATGCTCAGAAGAGTCATTGCAACCGCGCCTCGCGCCAGCAGAGCGCTCTCATCATCCATTCGACCAGCCATCAATTCACAAGCACGCATCGCTGCACCAGCATCAATAACAGCGAAACGAAGCTACCATGAGAAAGATAAGCCACCCTTCCCTCATCTGCTCTGCCGCTTATGCACCACTTGCGCCGCCCCAGAAACCTACAACCATTCTCCTACCCCGCCTCTACTACCACAATTCACACACACTCTGCTGACATCCACTTACTCCTAGACCACTACTCCGCGCCCCGCAATGTCGGGAAAATGGACAAGAATGCCCAGGACGTGGGTACAGGCCTTGTTGGCGCACCAGCCTGCGGGGACGTGATGAAGCTCCAGATTCAAGTCGATCCTACCACCAATACCATATCCGACGTAAAGTTCAAGACATTCGGGTGTGGATCAGCGATTGCGAGTTCTAGTTACCTTACGGAACTGGTGAGAGGAATGACGTTGGAGGATGCCGGGAAGGTCAGGAATACGGAAATCGCTAGGGAGTTGTGTTTGCCGCCTGTGAAGCGTACGTTCACCGGTCGTCATCGGAAAGACAATTGGAAGTCTCAAGAATGATAAGGCTGACTTGGGGATACAGTGCACTGCTCTATGCTGGCTGAAGACGCAATCAAATCGGCCATCTCAAATTACTACACCAAGAACCCCAAGGCCAAGAGCACCGACCTTGGAGGAACTGCGGCTGCGATGCCGAAGGTCGAGGTGGAGCAGGTGGCTGCGGCTTGAGTGGAGAGCCATGAGGAATCGAGGACGCTGTGACATGGTTGGACCGCCTTGATGGCCAAGGAATCGAAAGTTGATATGGTACAGGAACAGTCAGGGCTTGTCATCTGATATGGGAAGCGATGGTTTGGCAGGCGTTGGTTGGTAGTTCATATATCATTATGTTCTTTGGAGCCTTGTCGCTGCCATTGAATCAATCGCCCAGGGAAAGCCCCCAATAGTGATGTTTGCCTGTCCCAGCTACTTGCTGACAAGTCTCAATGTGACATCGACTGCTATATACTTTACCTCAAAATCCTATTCCTCGATCTCTGCCTGACATCCAGACTCTCCTCCCGCAGGACTTGTCGATGCAAAGCTCTCATACAACACACCATACGATGCAACACCCCCGGCAGCATGCATACCACATCTGCTTCTGTAAGCCCGTGATCTGCTACTAGGAATCTCTTCCCGTCGGCAGAAAAGGCTCAACTCGTTCATATATCAGTCCATGAGGACGATGCCTCAGGGACCGGGGCAAAACGTCCGGACAAGGCTTTATGATGGGTAATAGCGCCACTTCACGCCTTCATGAAGGCTGGCGAGATATCCATATGAGAACACAAGTTACAAGGCCTGTTCATCGGTGGAATTGCAGTATACCCCAACAAAGCCTCCCACTCCTAGCACCCTCGACCCAGTTCCTCAACCCAACCTTCATGTTTCCCACATAATCATCCGATATATCGCCCTTCAATTCCCTTTCTCTGCTCTCCATCTCCCTCAAAACCCTCCCATAATGCACCTCCATATCCCGAGTCAAATCGACAAACCCTACATCCACAAACCCAGCCTCCTCAAACCACCGCCTATAAGACTCCACATCGCCCAGACTCTGAAGCTTCAGGCGTTTCAATATCGAACCTATCTCTCTCTCTGATCTACACCTACAGCGACCATCGGATCCGTGAACACGACCAACCCTCCATCCTTCACCAATACCCTATCAACCTCTCTTACCACAGCTTCCCTATCCCCCGAGTGCAGCAACGCATCCTGGCTCCACACGACATCAACCCCCCCCCGCGGCAACATACCCAAATCCTCAAAACACCCCTCACGCACACCGACCAACCGCCCCAACCCCTCCTCCTCTACCATTTCCCTACTCCGCTCATTCTCCACCTCGCTAACGTTCACACAGCAAACATTGCACCCGTACGTCCTGGCGAGGTAGCGCGCGGCGCCGCCGTAGCCGGAGCCCAGGTCGAGGATGCGCGTTGCGCGGGTTATGGGCGCGAGGAGGGCGGCCATGCGTTCGATTGTGCGGTGGGACGCCGCGGGGATGGGATCGTTGGGGGAGTCGTAGGGGCCGATGTTGATGGTGGAGCCGCCCCAGATGGTGCGGTAGAAGGTGTCGGCGTCATGGGAGTCGTAGTAGGTGCGGGCTGTTGCTGCTCCGGAGCGGGCATGACTGGAAACGGATGAGAATGAGGGCGTATCTCGGTCGACTGTGTGGTCTGCGGAGACGTCCATGGTGGTTTCAGGATCTGACTCTCTCAGCGGTTGAGCATCTCGTTGCCTTTGTGGCAGGAGCTGAGCTGGCGCCGCACGGCATGGTGCCAACTGGAGAGAGTTCTGGTCATTGAAGCCGTTCACTGGATGTATGGCCCAACAAGGGACCCAAATGTTTTATGCAACAGCATCAGCTTTCAGAGGGTATTTGATGATCTGATCAAGGCCCAATGATCCGGCAAGCTAGCATCGCCAAGCCTCTCATTTTGCCAAGCCATGACCGGGGGCCCCCATCCGTGTCGCGCGAGCCCGGGAGATCCACGATCGCGCCCTATGAAGTGCGTGAGCTGTTGCCTTTCCGGCTCGGAAAATCGAAACAGTCACGTGATACGTATTGACGGGCTTACAGCTCGGCAGGGGTGAAAAAAAGTTCGGCAGGGGTGAGTAGATGGTAAGTATATGCACCTCGTCCGGGACTCCTTCCTCCAGTCCAGCGATCCCGCTATCGGCTGCGTAACAGGAATACAGGGAAGCTCACGCGTGTTGAACACATCAACTCGCAAGTCCGCACACTGTTAAAACCGCCTAGAAGACCGACAAACTCAGAAAAGCTGAGATGTTATGCAAGCACTGAAGATTTTCAGAGTCGCGCCGCAGTATTCCCTTGCATTAGGGTACCGTATTTGTGCAATTCTGAGTTTTGGGATTCACGAAGGTCAGCATTCAAAGGGATCTGCTTTCACAGAATGCTAGCATGGAAGATTTTCTCCTTTGTTATGCTTTTCAGTCTGATTGGATCGACCTTGACGCCAACCCGACCTTTCCCAAATAATACTCCCCTCAACACGACGTGAGCGCATTACCGCTTGACTCAAAAAGCCCCATTGATGAGTGTCATCTTCGAGCATCCCCTGCCGCCCAAGTCACCGGCTTGAAAAATTGGAAAGCCTCGGCTCAGATCCAACCACGGCGCCCTTGCCCCTAGATTTGAAACAGCAGACGGATGCTGTAACAAGCAAGGCATATCTCGCCATTCTCTCAACACTCCTTTACAAACTAATGCCATTAGCGCCTCTGGGCTGTCCCAAATCGAGGTCCTGACAACATACGAAAAGCTCGGAATCGTGTGAATTGAGGCCGCTCGCTCATGATGTTTTGATATTCGCAATCCATTGCATGAAGAGAAGGTACGAAAGTGCGCATTCCACCAGAAACACTGGGTGGGAGGATAAAGGAAATTCTCCAAAGACCTATATTAGCGCTATCGTCAAGACGCTTCTGTACGTCAACCGAAAAGCGGGAAAACTGGGAGAGATCAAACGGGATGGTGGTGTTCTAGCTTATGCCCTGCCACCGTCCGTCGCAGGCGCAAACCACTCACGAATCCATTTCCGTACCCATTCATCCTTGATCGGCTCCAGTCCTCGCATCGCTTTGCTCAGCTTCAAAGTCTCGGAAAAGTCCAACCGGTTAGTCTGGACTCTGTCCGACGCGGCGGGGTGTTCGAAGAAGTCCAGGAGTTTGGCTGCAGGGTTACTCCGTAGCGCGGCCTCGAGGCTCACGTCGTCAGCGTGCTCGCTGCGGTCGACTGTGGACTCCGCTGCCTTGCGCACTTTAGCGATCCACGTACGCAACGGTACGATTTCCATTGTCCTCTTCGTCTGAGAGCCGAGCTCGTAAAGGATGGTGGTTCGGAGCTCTGCCCAAGTAGTCGTATGTGGGTTTAGAGGATGATAGACGTCCGCCTGGTGCGCAGGCGCAGTGCAACTTGCCGCTGACTGGCCTCTGACTAGTGCCAATTCTACGAGAATACCCGCGAGTAAATCGATTGGTATCCAGTCGATCCGATCGAAGGTTGAGCCAAGTGAGTCCGGGAGGCCACCTATTTGGACGGAGCTGATAATCATGCTTGGAAACCATTCATCCTTGTTCCACATGCCAGAGTGATTCGCAGCTCCAGCTATCTGCCCCACACGGCTGAAAGCGATCGAGGGGCCAGAGGATACCGTTTGCGCTGCGTAGTCGATAATCTGCTCAGCGACATACTTGCTCTCTGAGTATCCATTCGGACCGGGTGCAGTGTCTGCTGTGATAGGCTTCTCCAGAGCCTTTCCAGACGTTGAGCGATTTGATATCACTGAACTGATTGATGATATGTAGAAAAATCGTGCCGATCCTGCAGAGGTGTTGGCAAAAGCAAGGAGACCAACGAGATTGTCAAGCTGAGGTTTGAAAAAGGAAAGAGAAAGGTTGAAGTTCACCGTCCACGCATTATGGATCACGAGCGTGGCTGTCAATCCTATTTCGTCGTATTGTGCTTTTGTCAGGTTGAAATTCTTTTGGCTTAGATCTACCGTCAAGAAAGAAATTCGTTTGTTACTTGGAGGATGCTGCAGCCCAAGAAGCCGGTTCTTTTTCATCTGTACTGACAAGCCATCCTCCGCTCTATTCAAGCAGTATATGTGCGCAACGGTCGGAATTTGTAGTAGTGCATCCAGAATGTACGAACCCAAGGTTCCCGTGGAGCCTGTGAGAATTACAGTCTCCTGTTCCTGATTCGGAGGGACGTTGGATTTGACATCGAATTTAGGCAGCAATCGTTTGTCGATCAGTGTCTTGTATTCTTGAATCATATCATTGCGCTTCTTTGTTCGCGCCTGTTCTTGGGAGGCCTCTGAGGTCTGGTGTTGATCCAAGAGGTGCAAGATTGCAGCCGTGAGGGTCAGGACTGAAGGATTGGTATATACAGTACTGAGTGCAATAATGTGCATGGCCAGGCTTTGCCTCAACTTACGAACCAAAACCAGGGCCTGTAATGAGTCCATACCAAGTGCGAAGAAATTTGCTGCTTCGTCAAGGCTCGGCCACTCCACGGTCGATAGGACACTCTGTCTGACGCACTTCGATACGGTCACTTCATTCAGGGTGCCTCTTGGGTCTTCAATTTCGCCTTCCGAGTTGGTAGACATCATGTCTGCATCTCTGTAAAGGGCGTCAATCTCGCTCGCATACAATACAAGCGTTCCAGATCTTTGGACTGTGCCCTTCCCGGCGCGCAACATTGGTTTTTGCGGCTGCGTAAACAAGACATGGGACTTCATAAGGCGAGCATGAGATGGAGCATCCTTGTTGGACTCCTCAACGGTAGGCCAGATTTTCTCGATGAAAGCAGCGCGCTCAGCTGGTTCCAGTGATTTGGTAGTAGCGATTGGTTCTATTAGCAAAGACGCCTGGAAACGTCGTGCACCGACAACTCACGCTGCGGAGATGTCCGAATTACGTGATACGATATGCTGCTCCATCGAGATCGGGTTCGTTTTCTCGCCATTCAGAAAGACGATAATATCGTCAGCCCTTGACTGCCACTTCCAAAGGTCTGATCTTGATGGATGACGAACGAAAAGATCGCGGCTGGTGTACTCTTGCGCGTTAGGGAAGATAGTAAAAGTTGGCTGCTTGTCTATCTTTTCCGGGTTACGGACCGCATATAGCTCATAGATCTCATCTGAAACTGGACGTAACTCCAGACCAAGTTGTGGATGGAACTGAGTATACTTCCAGTCCTCCGAGCCTCTATCAGTCAAGGATATGATAGCAGGCGTCAAACCCAGCTCCGACGCCCCAAATTGGTTCAATAGCCTGATTCTTGAAGCTACGACATCGCCAATGATCTGTGGAAGGTCGCCTCCGCAGTAGATGATTGCTCTTAGATGTCTTGAGCAGTAGTCGAGAAGTTCTTGATTCTGAGCTAGGTCTTGGACGATCGAGGGAACGAGAAAGGCGACGTCTGCAGGAGTCTTTTTCAAACTTTCGACAAGCCCTTCACCTGAAAGAATAGCGCCCGATGTAGGAGCTATCATCACTGTCCCAAAGGTGACGGAGTTGAAGAGATGACTGGCAAGGTATGCTCCCTTGAATATTAACCTTAGCCAAGACCCACAAGGCTATCGCTGATGTTCGTGGACTTACGTGGAAAGGTGGGAAAGCAATGAAGACTCTCTTGCCTTGATACACCCGGTCTTGACTTTCGTAGTCAACTGGCGGATCCAGTGACATCATCTTAGTATTAGCAGCTGCCGCGGCATGAGTGAAGACTAGAGGCTTAGGCATGCCAGTGGAGCCAGATGTGTGTACAACAAACAAAGGCTCCGATTGAGCTTCTGGCCAAGACTTGTCAAATGCGAAGTGATGGTGCTGGATATTGAGGAGGTGCGAGACGCTAGGAACTTCAACGATGTGAAAGTCCTGATGGTCACTAATAGCAGTAACAGCTGGCGGTCGCGGGTCCGGTGAGAGCAGGGTTTTGCACTTCAGTGTGCCGAAGAGAGCGAATTGAGCGGCTAAGCTGTTGCGGGGTGATGTGAGAAACAACTGTTGGGTCAGCACCGCCAGCTTGAATGAGCTCGTGAGTAATGGTCGGTCACACCTTATACCCAGCCTTGACAGCCCCGAGGATGAGGGCAGGATATCTTATATCATTGGGTCCTATGTATGCGAGAGTTTCGAAGTCCTTGCCAGGACCGAGGGTATCGACCAGCCATGCGGCGGCGGCGTTGATAGCATTCGCGAAGTCTTTGTAGGTGATTTTGCGGTAGCCCTCATCATAAGTCAAGGTCGAGACTGGATACTCTGAATAGATAGTATCAGGTGTCAATGAGGCGCGCTTGTCAACGAGGTGTGGAAGCAAGTCTCCTGTGAACTGGAGAGAGGGAGCTTTCGTGCCCTCCATAGTCACTACTAGCAGCGGCACCGGAAGCCTATGATGATCTCTTTGGAAAGGTGAGCAAATGTCATGCTTGATGCCGTTGGCGACAAGGTGACCAAAGCAGTGCTTCTGCTAAGTCTCGATCGTCTCACAAGACGAAGATCGAGAGCAACACTAAATTACGTGTGAAACGTGTATTTTTTAACGGTACCTTGGGTATGGTGTGTGTAGGGGGGAGTAAATCACGCAAACTCTGATTGCAGGGCTGAAATCAATCAGTATTACCTTAACGGAGTACCTTGGAGCCGAGAAGGCTAGTGTATTGTAAGCCTATAGGTAAGGTACTTTACGAGTCATGGATCCATTGGTCTCCCAGTCCCAGACTCTTGGAATCCCTGCATTTTGTGGAACCAACCCAACCTGCTCTACCAATAGCGGGTTATATTCTTCGAGTTCCGAGGTTTCATCTATCATCTATGGATCCGTCACCATGTGCCAGCATGCATTGCATTGCAACCTTCGCTGCATCCTCAACCTCGATAGCCTACCCGAGCTCGCCAATCACGTTTCTGATGGAATCGTCTCTTTTGCAGGCGCTGGCGATGTCTGCATTGCCATCGAGGCGTCCAGCCAACTCACAGAAGATAAAGAGCTCAATGTCTAGAGCTTTCACTCACGATGTGCGTGCGGTGAGACGATACTTACAAGACGGTCACTTGGTCGCTTTTGCTAATCGGGTCAAGTCGTGGTGTCTGATGCATCGCATTTGCGGGAACAGTGTCGACTCGGGCATTCCCATCGCCACGAGAAGGTCGCAACTGTAATGGATCCATAATAAGATGAAATTCGAACTTGATTTTTGGATAGAACATGTGTGGCCGTATTCACACTATACGTGAAAGCGAGCACGCCAGCTTCGATCAGTTTCGTGCCGTGAACCCCACGCTTATATTAAGACGAGTTCAATTCTCGCTCGTATTACCATACTGCTAGTTGTTATTTGGGGTGGTGGAGCACTCGAAGGACCGGCGACCATTGACTCGATTCATTTCGCAAGCAATTGGCCCTGGCATCGGATGATGGCGAGATTTCGATTTTGAGTCACGAGTTAACGTTTGGTGCTTACTCTCTAGCGCTTATGCAGCCGGATGAGATAAGTACACGCTCTGAGAAAGAGGTGGGGAATGGTGACATGATCTGAATTCCATCTATTGGAAAACACACTTAAGTGGATGAGGATCTCTTTGTTTATCCGTAGAGTATTATGATGCATTGCTTCGATTGTTGTATGCTTTTCTTTTTTCTCCTCCTTTTTTCAATCACATTGACCGGACATACACAGAAATGTAAGACATTACTTTGATGCATGTCAAAACTGTCATGTTTTGAGAATTCTGAAGAAAGTGAATCCGACTAGCACAATAGCTGAGAATTCTTTTTAATGCAGATTGAAGTTGCTGAGCCAAAACCGTGGATACTGACCCGAACTGAGGGTGTATGTTTAGGTTTGAAGATGAGATGGTCCCTTGGTTTACTCTGATCACCGTCATCCGATTGTAAGAGCGTATTCGAAGATAAGATGACTCGCCGACTCCTCTTACTCACTGTCGTTTGACTTCTGAAATAAGATTATCAGACCATGCCGTCTTACTTTGTATAAGACCGTTTTTCCGTGTACGCGATCGAGTATCGCTGTTCTTTAGGCGAAATCTTATCCTTTCGCCCGTAACCATTCGGTATCTAAGCGGCCCCGCCAGCCTCGCGGAAAAAGCTCACAGTTGAGACAGGATCGGCTCGGCCATCGGCCTCACAATCCCAAAGATTCGAGTAGCCATCGCTGACCGCCGGATGACAGGAGCGGTCATGAAGCCCTAGCGAGTGCGAGCGCTAAGCAAGATGGACGATATGATACGGGGAAATTTGTGGAGTGGCATCGGCAGGAAGATGGATGTCGACGGGGAGAATGTACAGAAACATTGCATGTAGCAAAGGTGGAGTGGTCGAAGCATTTGCGAGATGATTCAAAAGCACGAAGCGGCATGTTTCTCACCCAAGGGAAAACCCCCTCCGCCATACGAGAACTATGTTCCTTACGCATACCTCTCCAAAATCTCCACCAACTCTGCAACCTTGCTCAAAAACGGCGCGTGACCACTCCCAATCTCATCCACACTCCAACTCTCATCCCACACCTCCTTCATCATCGCCCGCTGCCGCTCCAGCGGCATCCCCAAATCCTGCGTCGTGACCACATACGTCTTCGCGACATCCACATCCCAACACGCCCTCCGAACCGGCGTCGTGCAATTGTTGCGATTCGCAACCACCAGCTCGTCGGCCCAGCGCTCCTGCTCCGCGGGGGGCAGGTCCTGAAAGAACAACTTCATGCACAGGCCCCGCTTGGGGCGCCAAAGGACCCCGCCGTCATCGACCGTCACCCACGGCGGCGGCAGGCGGCCGCCGGAATACTGCATCGTGCTCATGCCGTCGGGGAGGAGAAAGGCGGCGATGAAGACGACGCGGACGATGCCGCCGGCCTTGCCCTCCTTCTGCCTCAGACTGCGCTCGAGGCCGCGCACGGCCTGGCAGACGGGCACGCCGCTGTAGGAATGCCCGATGAGGATGACGTCTTTGCCGGCGTCGACGAGGTCGGAGCAGGTGGCGCGGACGAGGGTGAGGTCGTCGTAGGGGAGGGCGGAGGGGGCGCCGGGGCCGTAGTTGGGCATGGGGATGCTGAGGCTCGGGATGGGGACGGGGAGGGCGGCGAGGGCGGCGATGATGGGGGTGTAGTGCGCGGGGGTGTAGAGGAGGCCGGGCACCCAGACTATTGTTGCTCTATCGGGAGTCATTGGGGCTGCGTGGGTGGATTTATCGTGGTATGCTCGAGGAGGGGTTGTGCTGGGTAGGAAAGGGTTCAAGGTTTGTTGTTGACTTTTGTTTCGATGGAGTGATGATCGCTAATACGACTGCAGAGCCGATCTGCGACTTTTTCGATGACAGACAACCCGATCTCATGCGTGTACACCGGTTTTCGTTGTATGTACCACCCCTCAAATCGGGTTAGTGTCCGCGACTCTCGGAGTAATTTATGCGCGCGGGAAAAGCGATATGGAATAAAGTAACATGTATTTATCGAATGTACACGTGACTAGGTGCAGATCTTTTCACTTCTCCCGTTGGGATGTCCTATGCGTTACTCGATTGCCACATCACACTCACTGTTTCTATAAAGCTTGACGAGAGACTTCTCACGCGTATGAGATTTCGTACATATGCAAAGGTGTGAGAGATTTTCCGATGTTCAGATTAAGGCACTTCTGCTGGAACCCAATTCGACTGCCGGGGACCTTCTGAAATGCGAATCAAAATCTCCAATTTTCAAAGAAGTTCTGCAAAAATCCGATGCAACCGCTTTAATGATAATAGATAAGGGTGCGAAAGATTGGTACTCGTACTTCCTTGATGTGTGCCAAAACCGCGAACACTGATTCGATCTGAGGGGGTGGACACGCATCGGATCGCGGATTTTTAGAACCAGGGTGATGACCACGCTGATGACGTACTTGCGCAAGGTGTATCGTGTCGACGTTAGGTACATTATCTACTTCTGTACCCGGTACAGTGGTAGCGCAATTAGGTTACGCCAGCGCGAATTTAGGAGATTAGATTCGGGCTGGTATGTAACTTTGATTCGGCAGTCTCCACTTGAGCACATCTCAACGCGTGACTGCTCGCGCTTTAGTCGCTCTCCTTGAGAAGCAAAGGCACGGAGCCCCTGTACAGTACTTATGGATGGTCGTGAACGTCCGCTTCGCCAAGACTCTTGCGTCCACTCGGACAACGGCCCGCTCCGAGTAAGTTCCATCAGCTAGTCCCGTTTGAGGTTTTGGGCACCCCGCGACCGTTGAGTTACGCAAATCTTTAGGAAAGCCGCTAGTCCCACTTGAGGTTCTGGGCACCCCGCGATCGTTGAATTACTCAAAACTTTAGGAAAGCCGCTAGTCCCACTTGAGGTTCTGGGCACCCCGCGATCGTTGAATTACTCAAAACTTTAGGAAAACCGCTAGTCCCACTTGAGGTTTTGGGCACCCCGCGATCGTTGAATTACTCAAAACTTTAGGAAAACCGCTAGTCCCACTTGAGGTTTTGGGCACCCCGCGACCGTTGAATTACGCAAATCTTTAGGAAAACCGCTAGTCCCCTTTGAGGTTTTGGGCACCCCGCGACCGTTGAATTACGCAAATCTTTAGGAAAGCCGCTAGTCCAACTTGAGGTTTTGGGCACCCCGCGACCGTTGAATTACGCAAAACTTTAGGAAAACCGCTAGTCCCACTTGAGGTTTTGAAAACCTCCGCGAATTGTTGATTTTCGTAAACCCGAGGGTACCGAGGGAAAGCCGCACGCTCATACCGCTTAGGTGGAGGAGGTTTTTGGAACCTTGCGACTGTCGAGTTACGCAAAATTCTAGTGTCGAGCTCGGTACAGGAAAGGTGGAAAGTAGAACAGATCTGGACAGATGGTAGACAACCTCACCCACCATGAATGTACCCTCGTCTCAAACGTGTCATCCGAGGATTCATCCTCTTCAATCCTCCCATTAACTAATTCTCACCGTCCTCCTCCCGCCCACTCCGCGCTCTTCCCCTAATCAAACCTGTTACATCCCAGCTTGAGGTCTTGGCAGTATCGGTAGATTGATTAAAATTATGCGTAACTCTGTGATCTACGCGAGCTAGATCTGTATGACAGCTGAGGCTCGATGGAGGCAAGTGCTACATTTCAAGGTCATAGTAAGGATAAGATATTTATATGTTCTCAAATCCGCGTGAGACAAAGTCTTCAAACTAGACATCCCGCTCCGGCAGAGATTTTTGGGAGGGCTGTTGTGATAGAAGAGGACATAGTGAACGAGCGCTGATGGTGTGGTGAGGATACGCAATCATGCTCCGTATGAATCGACCATTCTTAAGAGACCGTGATCACCAACAGCAATGAGAGTGGCTGCAAACTCTCAACGCAAAGGCTTGGCAGGTTTGATGGAAATTTGACATCTAGCGAGTTTATACCAACGTTCGTTAGCCAACATCCAATGCTCGAAGGAACCCGTGATATTATATCTGAATCTACCAAGCGGCATACATGAGAATGCCTATCTGCTTATGCTACTGCGCTATACCAACGACATGTTTGTCTGCCAAGAGATTGCAACCCGTGCCTGCCAAGATTCCGCTCATGCTGTTGGCTGGGCCGTCTTCTGTGGAGCTCATGGGACCGGGTGCGCCCGCTCCAATGCCCCCTTGGCTCAATTACAGGGTCTACGACAGCCGGGTTTTCCAGGACCCGAGGCTGCATTGGTAGTTACCAAAGCCGTGTAAGGATCAATCCCCTGAGAAGCACCATGAATACACGTCAAGAACGCTGGGTCTAAGTGGAAAAGGAATTCGGGAGGGGCAAGTAAGGGCGCGTATGGACCTTGCGAAGAATTCCATCCTATAATGGCCGGTGGACAGGGAAGATCGCCGAAGTTGAAGCTGTATGTTTTGGAATCGCCTCCAATAGTTGACAACGCACTAGGAGCGAAAGAAGTAATCAAGTTGGTGAATGTTGCGCCAATTTGGCTGCACCCATCATGAGCGCGGATCGAGGGGAAATTGACATATACGCTTGGAGATTGACTGTATGGAGTAAGTAGGTTGGCATGTCTAGCGGGGCAGATGTTTGAGTCGTACATGTTTGTTACATCAGGAGAAGGGGTCGTGATCTGTGGACCTTTTGAAAGACAAGCGGTATTTTGGGGGTCTTCGGGCCAGTAATACACGTTGACGTACTGTGATTGATTAGGTCTGCATTGTTTTTAGGTTCAACAGGGGCATTGCTGACTGGATAAAACAAATTGCATGTGGCCCATGGCACACAGCCCGCTGATCCTGAAGGAGGTGGAGGTGCCGCTGTAATTTGTGATTGCCCTGTAAATGTCGCGGGTGTCGCAAGTAAGGCTGAGTTTGCTGATGTAGCTGCTGTTTCTGGAGTAGCAGCTGCCGCTGGAGCCGCAGCTGTCGTCTCATTAGACATTACTGAAGTGCTGTTCACGTCCGGCGGAGAAGCAGCGCCACGACGAACAGCGCCAGGATTGTCGAGCATGTCGTATGGCCTCTTTTCAAGACTCGCTCCGTTAATAGGAGGACATATCAAGGCGAAGATGGTCGCGAGCAACAGGAGAAAGAACTTCCGACAGCACATGGCTGAGTCTGGTCGGGCTGGATGGAAATAGCGTAGAAGTCAAGACCGCAGGTTCAACGAGACATCAATACTCGATGAATGGGTGAGGCTATATACCCTTTCCGCGGACACCGAGGAAAGAAGACACGTAACACCCCATTGCTGGGACATCTTGTGAAACTAGTGAAATGAGAAAGGGTCGTTAGATTCGCAATACTGAGTAGATGCGGTATTGAGAGCCCGTATAGATTGTCAACCGCTCGCATGCAGAAATATGGATGCGCATGATGGAAGAAGGCCATAGATCCTGCAGATTTGATCATATTGGAGATGTGCGTTCACACGCTGTACATTTGCCACGCATCTTGAGTGAGCGAGGACAATCTCTGAGCGTTGTGGAACTTTAGCAGAGGGCGAGGTAGTGCATATTGGGGCATGTCGAGGAAGGAAACAACCAAATTCCGTCTCTGAAACACCCTTTGCATGAGGCTGACGGCGCCTTACTCCCCCTTTCGATCACTTGTTTCTCAACGGATTATGCTAGACCGGTTGGAGGAATTTTCAAAGGTGTGGGAGACACGTAGAACTCGAAATGATATGCAGAAATTATGATTGCAGGGTGTGCACAGTGTCACCATGGTCCCGGAGTGCTTCCATTTATGTACGAATCTACCTTAATGCCGTTCCGAAGGCCGAAAAGTGGCACAGCGCAATGCGAGGAGGCTATGCATGCTTCGACGATGTCATTTGTGGAACCATAGTTTCAAGCACTGAACGAACGCCCCACCTTTGGAGCTAGCGAAGCAGGCATCTATGCGTTCCTCTCAACTTGAAGATGGGCTCCCGCAGAATTTCATGCCCCACATGTGCAGAAAATGTGAGAACAGGACCAACATCTAGATGCATGTGGAGGTATCGAAGATGGAACGAAACTGCAGGGGCTCGTTAAAAAGGGCAGTGCTCGCGGCAGAGACGGACCTGCGTGGGGTGGAAGCTGATAAGAAGAGAAAGCAACGTGACCACTTTGGGTGCAGCACTGCTGACTTTCGCGAGATGTTTTGAGATTTACTGTAAAAGACAAGAAGAGCCGCTATGTTCTCAAAGACAAGAACAAGTTGCAGTTTTTAACCTGAAAGAATAGAAGCCACAAACCCCCAATCGCGGCTCAGCCTTATTCATAGCCTTACAAGTAGCCTGAACTCTATCAGGAATGGCGCCGGCGCCTATCAGTTGGCCCCCATCGCAATACTGGTACCTCCGATATTTCTTTCCTTCTTCCCGTCCATTGCCTGCTCATCAACAACGATGCTGACACTCGTGAAAGGGATGGTGATGATGGCCCTTGGTCCTCGTTCGCCTTGCGACTTGGGAGCCCCGAGCAGATTGTCCGTGTCCTGCCATCGACCGCGGGCCAGGCGACGTGGGTTGTAAGCCCTCAAGGATGTCCACCTGACTGGAATAGCACCTTAGCCCATTCATCCTGTAATGCATCTCGCGGCGGTCTATTCGATCCAACACAGTCGAGCTCCTGGCAAGTCTTAGGTAACTATTCTCTAGGACTCGAACTAAACCTTGGATATGATGTGAGCGCTCCATACGGGCTCGACATGATAGCGTTGGGGCTCGACAATGCTATCGGTGGACCCACACTGAACTCACAGGTCATCTCAGCTCTTGCGACCGAAGACTTTCATATGGGTGTCTTCGGTTTGGGTCACCAAGGGACAAATATTAGCAGTTTGAGCGAGCCACATCCGACTTTCTTAACGGCAATGCACAATGAGAGCTTGATTCCAAGCCTATCGTGGGCATATACTGCGGGGGCACAATATCGTGAGTCAGTTTCCTAGCTCAGCAACCTGCGCACACCGTCATCAATGACCAATATTGCTGCCACTACAACTATCAGCCTCACACTTGTTGCTAGCCAAAGTGGCCGCGAGTCTCTACTTGGTGTCTTCATATGCCTCCGCTTCGATCTGTCTTCCGTTGTCCGTATGGCTTACAAGAATTGCAAGTCGTAACTTCAAAAATGGGCATTTAGTGCGTACAATCTTTTTGCAAGGCACTCGTTTGTGAAAAGTTGCCCTTGCTAAACATTTCATCCTTCGTTACTCAGCAGTAAATCAAGAACTTTGGGATGACATGAACGCTTACGGCCAGCAGGATATGTACTTGGAAGCTTGACGTTTGGCGGCTACGATCGTTCACGATTTGTCCCCAATAATGTCCCTCTTTTCCTCGCCGCCGATATCTCGCGTGATCTCGTGGTTGGACTACAGTCGATATCTTCAACGAGTATGAATGATCTCACTTTTTATCAACAGTCGTTACTACCGAACCCAATCTTGACTTTTATTGACTCAACCCTACCACATATATACCTCCCCATCGAAGCATGTCAAGAATTTGAAAAGACACTCGGGCTAGCATGGAATAGTACAGCGGAAATGTATTTGGTGAATGATACTCTCCACCAGAGTCTGTTATCAAAAAACCTCAGTTTCAGTTTCACAATCGGAGATGCCATAGCTGGCGACCCTACATTACAGATTACCTTGCCATATGCAAGCTTCGACCTAGAGGTGGATTATCCTGCCGATTTAGATACCCTTCGATATTTTCCCTTAAAAAGGGCTGTCAACGAGTCCCAGTTTACTCTAGGTCGAACCTTTCTACAGGAAGCGTAAGTGCTCTCCAGTCTCGTCTCGACTGTATTTCGATTACTAATCAGTTTATCTTCAGATACATCATCGTCGACTATGAGCGCTCCAACTTCTCTGTTTCGCAATGTCGATTTGAAGATGGTATTCCTGCAGACTTAGTTGCCATTCCGTCAGCCACTGAAACACCAAGTCACCTACGTCGCAATGTCGCCATAGGGACCAGCGTTGGAACAGCTTTGTTTCTTCTACTAGCTACCCTTGCAGCTATTTTCGCCATCCGAAGGTGGCGACAAAATGCGAACACCCAACCTAGTAGCGAAGCCACACAGCTCCGTACGCTCTTCCAGGAGCCGAGAGAATCAATCGTTAGTTTTGCGCAGGAAATCGGTCACAACAGCACAGATGAGCCAATTCGGGAGCTCCCTGATAGCGCGCAAGCCAGAGTGGAATTGCTGAACGAGCAGGCTCCCTCGGGATCAGGCAATGAGATCCCCGAGATGCCGGAGGCTCTTCCGACCGTTCCCCACGAACTGAGAATCAACCGGAGCTCACATGTCATGGTACAGACACGCAACGCTAACAATTACCTAATCTTCGCCTCGACGAAATCCGCGAGGAAAAGTTGGCCAAGCTTTGCGTCATCTGATGGCGCACTCTGCAATGAAACCGTGATATCTGCCTCGGCTCTGCGAAAGGAGATTGAAATGGATAGAGCTTCAATCGCCACTTCAAATCTAAAGACAGAAATATATTCCTTATATATACGAAAGCCGCTCGATCTGAATAGGTCGTTGCCACCAACTCCAATTTCGGAGAGCCCCCAGGTATCGCCCGTTCTGGCAGAATCAACCGACGATCTTCCCTCTGCCAACGCCCACGGCACTGTATCTGCTTTTGTTTCTCCAGAAATGCCTGTCATGACTTATCCGGCGACAGCCTTTAAACACTCAGCGTCTTCCTGTGAGTGTTTTGTTGACGGGTCTGGAGACTGTAGATAGTTCCTTCAGGTCAATTGATGGCCAACAAGTCGAGCTTTTCGATGGTTTCGAGAGAAGGGTCTAGATTGGATGCAACTTAGTTCTGATCTATCACATCGCCGCAGCTTCTCGTATAACACGCTCCTGACCTACCATTGAATATCACTTGGCCCCTGAACAATCTCTTGAAATTTTCAACATTCGCATTCGATACAAGTGAGCCTGTATCATAGGAGAAATCATATTCAGAGACTCGTAGGGAGGTCTCCTGGTCGTAGGAGCCCTGGGTCTACCGAATTGGATGTTCGCATCCTCGGCGGGCAGGTTATCAACTATCTCGTAAATGCTTTTAGCCTAGTCTTAATGTTGTTAAAGGATCATACACGTAATATGTGTGATTACGTATACTCAATTGTTTTAGATAATTTTTCGATAGCATTGCGAACTCCGAGCATGCTAGCCCTAAACCACTAAGGTCACACGTGCAGAGTATTACACAGTCATGCAGAGTTTTGAATCTGATACAAAGGATTGCTATCTTACCACAGCTGCTCGAGGAAGGGCTGTCTCCTTCCTGCCTTCCCATTGTTGACAGCAGCACATGACCTATTCGTCACTATCCAACAATGAAGCTTCAACGTGAAGAACCTCGCCTAGGCGTCGCGTAGCTACCCATACACTTGTTTCTGTTCTCTTGTTATTCCCTCGCAGTGCAGTGGACTTCGTGAATCTTCTCTTCTTCTCTGGGGTCTCTGTCTTTGTCCTTCTGACTTTCTTTGTTTACAGATCTCTGCTGTTGCCTAGCTCCACACAAAATCCACTTTTATAATCATCTCCCATCAGCTAGCTTCCTTGGTAGACACTTAAAACTGCTATTTACTAGCTTTTCAAAATCGAACTCCTCACCACTTCGCACTTGGCACATCTTCACCCATGGCACCAGACGAAGACAGACATAGAGACAAAAGATTCAAGACCGCAGAAGAGATAGGAGGTAGCTTCACCTCATCAGCCACCACATCAAATTCTCGCCCCAATGTCCAGCCAGTACCCCCACCGATGCCGCATGACCGGCTCAGCACTTCATCTCACGTTGACAGCATCCATCCTTCCGCGGCGCAAGATCCTCTCTCTAGGCGCAGAGCCAACGGCGGCTTGAACCATGATGCCGTGGACGACTCAGATTCGAAAGGTAAAGACAAAGCGCCACCACTTCATGACAGGAATAGAGTACTGGAAACCATCGAGGAAGACGTGGGAGATGCTATCACCTCCTCCTCCGCAGATCATGAGCACGGTGAAGATGATTCTGGCGGAAGCGAGTATAACAACAGGGAAGATAGTGAGATTGCATACTTAGCATCAAGTGGCAAAGGGAGAGCACGCAGTCTTTCTCGGGGTTCCAACACAGGAGTGTCCCATGGTGCTGAGAATAGGAGCCACGGCGAGGCCCAGGATGACGATATGGAGAATCACGGCGACGAGCACTTGTACCATGAAGACGAAGACGGTGGTGGCAACGACCACGACGGCAGCTCCGGCACTGACGCCCCGCCATCTATGGGCGGATATGGAATGCCAGTCCAGGTTCCTTGGGCTGAGCCGGTTGATCCTCCAGTGCAGGAGTTCCGTTTGAGAGAGGACGGGATATGGGATATTAGATCAGAGGGAAAGTAGGTCAGAAAGATAGGAGTTCCAAGGTTGTCGGTGTTGAGTAGAGAGTGGACTATAATGCCTCTACCGAGTACGTTAAATACGTACGTTGAATGCGAAACGCGAACTCCATTATTAATTTAACGCGCATTAGCGTGATTTGGCATAGACTTCACAGCAGACATCTAGCCCACAATCAGATAGCGCTCTACATCTATCACCACCACACTCTTTTACAAACCACCATCTTTAACCACCACTTTATTTACAGCATCGTTATTCCACCACACCAAACAGCTCTTCAATTATTGCCCTCGTCACATCACAATATCCCCAGCTCTACCGAGTTTTCCAAAAATGTCACCCTCACTCCCAGCAATCTACGAACTCTCCGTCACTCAACGCAAAGACATCCGCGACGCTTTTAAATCGGCATGTCTCGCTCTCCCCTCCGACTGCAGCGACGACTTCAACGACAAGCCTACCGTCATCGCCGACATGAAGAGAAGGCTGCAATCTGAGGCGATGTTCGATCGAGCGATCACGGACGAAGAGGCGCTGATTTGTTACCAGTACTCGCTTGACCATGTACCTTTTCTCCACTATCCTCGATAGTAGGAATCTCTAATCTCTGATAGCAACGAGCTACTCTCGAGAAGCAGCGACAAAAGACTACAACCCTCGAATTAGATACGGCCGGTCGGAAAAAAGCGATGGCCAGCCTTAAGCGCTCACTCAAAACGCTCAACGCTGCTTTTAACACATTCGATTCTTCCGAACACAGCACTGACGCAATCCTTGCCGTAAAGGCCGTTATCGATGATGCTCGAGTATGTTCTCTCGTCCCTTACTGAAGTTAATCGAAGCTCACAGTTCAAGATCGCCGTCCGTCGTTTGTCTAAGCGTATCTAAACAATCCAGCTAATCACAATGCTGCTACAACATTCCTTGCCAACGGGGTGGCTTATAGGATTTGTGGAAGTTTTCCCGCTTCAAATTTATATCGGTCGAGTCCTATGTTCCGAGCCAATAATGGCAATATCAGATAGAGTCGCAGATGGAAGCCGCCTGAGAGGTAGAGACGTGGTCCAAGAAAACGCTACATCGGACCACATTACAGGATTCCCACATGACGACCTTTATCCTCCGTAAACCAACAATCTAGTCTGTGCCACATCTACCACATTCTCCGGTGCTTTGGTTGTGAAATGTCTGAGCTGTTAGGCCCAACCCCTGAGGTTTGCACTCTGCCAGAGAATGGGCTAGCTTTTCAATTCACAGGTTTTCCTTTTTTCTCGATCCATATTGCCTTCGTACTTGTACGACCGGCAGCCCTGGATCAATATCAAAGAATGATTCCCAGCGTCACGACGTTCCAGAAACGTTGCCGGAATCTAACCACCCGCGCTCTCAAGCTCATTTGATTCAGGCCTGGTAAACCCTAGCGCTAAGACCAGTCCATACGACTATCAGGCCCTAGGAGACCGTATCTGACCATCGCCTACGCTTGTTGCGTCTGTCAGCCCATTACGGACTTTGAATTCGGTATGCACTCTTGCCGGTCAATACTACCCTCTTGCTTGGACCCCACAAGACGGGGTGTGTACGGAATGTTGGAAATGTATGAAGGATTGATTGGTTGATTAAGTAGCGATGAGAGTGCTGAGAGAAGGCTACTTCTACCTCTATTTACCACCGTGCGGGGTAGCTACAACACAGGCGCTGCAGCAAAACTCAACACACCCCCATGATGCAGTATGGTACCGCAAATTAACAGTTGTGACACAAGCACACCGATCTTCCCTTACCTGACACGAGCACGACTTGAGACCTGATGACTGACATCGAAAGATTTGAATATCTATCGACTTGCTTAAGGAAGAGGTCGAAATTGTAGTTGAATTAACTGCCATTGTAGCAGGTTCACTAATCGATTTATAACGAGTGACTGTATGGTCTCTGCACTGGCTACTTCTTGGGCACTGGCTGACTGGAAAGATGACTTGTAAAGCTCTGGCCACTTCTTGGGCACGGGCTTGTAGTTTGTAGTTGGATGACCTCTGCGTGCTCTGACCTCTTGCTTGGCTAGTAGCCGTAGTAGAATCTGTAGTGGAATAGTGATAATCTCTGCGTGCTCTGATCTCTTACTTGAATAGTAGCCGTAGTAGAAAATTAGTGGCATAGTGGTAACACTAACAACAGTGAGAAATAGTGGTAATAGGGAGGTTTAGCAGTTTTCATATAAGATTTCATACTTCTTAATTTAACAATAATAAGGCTATCTAATCACATGCGATAGAGATTAACATAGTCGATAATTTAATAAGTATAAACTATTCTTATTAGTTATAAAGTATTTTTATAAATTTATTTACTTTTTTAAATATTAATATAATAGCTTAATAAGATATAGAGTAACTATAAAAATTAAATAAGTTATAAGTAATTATTTTAATTTTAACTATCTTACTTATATTATAATCTAATTAAACTTAGTATATTAAAATCTTTTAATCTTTCTACTTTACTATAAAATCTATATTTATAATTATTTTATATAAATAGTATTCTCTTTATATTATAATAAAGAATTATTATATATATTATTAAATCTCTAATATAATATTATCTATCTTTCTTTTAAAGTAATAGCGATTTATTTATTAATTATATTAAATTTATAATTAAAAAGAAAGTATATTAATAAAAAGTTAATAGCTATAATTAAAAAAGTTTACTATTTTAAAAATCATTTAAAAAAAATCTTTAATATATTAAAATAAATAGATTTTAGATTAGATCTTCTTTATACTTTTATTAATTTAATATTAATTATAAATCTTTTAATCTTAAGTTTAAATAATATTTAAAGTTAAAATATTATAGATAAATTATAAATAAATTATTATTTAAAAGAACTTAAGAACTTTAATAAGAATATTTTAAATATTAAAGAAGAGAAATTATTTATATTATATAAGAAAAAGTATTCTAGCTTTAATAGAAGATATATTATTAAATTTAATTTAAATTATATCGAAGTATAATTTATAAATATTATTAAAAAAGAATTAATTATAATCTTTATCTTTATCGCTAACTGATAAAGTTTTATAAAAAATACTATTAAAACTTTTAATATTTAATATAATAAATTAAAGATTTTAATAAAAAGCTTTTAAACTATTAATCGTAATATTAAAATTAGTATATATAAAAGAATAAGATAGGGCTGAACTAGAAAATCTTAAATTTATATGTGTAGCCAATTATAAATTCGAGGTTATTACGCCTTTTGGCTAGATCGGCTGAGTCACCGCGGGTAAATAAATTAGCGTCCGCAACCATCAAAATCTCCAGCCCTCCCGAGCTCCCTTATTAAAAAAATAGGTGTACATTATTAACACATAGAATAACTTTTTTGTTTTCTATTAAAATTTTGAGATTTTTTTTTTAAATTATAGAACGAAATGTGGGCTTTCAGATAAAAAAAGAATTTCTAAATTTAGTCTTATAACTATTAAAGCGCAAGGAATTCAAATATCGCTCACCAAAGTTCGCTCGACAGTCGAACAGCCCTAATTAAAAAACAATAGATGTACGTTATTAATATATAGAATAACTTTTTATTTTCTATTAAATCTTTTAGATTTTTTTTTAAATTGTAGAACGAGATATGGGCTTTCAGATAAAAAAAGAATTTCTAAATTTAGTCTTATAATTATTAAAGCGCAAGGAATTCAAATATCGCTCACCAAAGTTCGCTCGACAGCCGGACAGCCGGCCCGTCACAGCCCTGATTAAAAAACAGGTATACATTATTTGATTTTAGAATAACTTTTTTATTTTCTATTAAAATTTTGAGATTTCTTTTTTAAATTATAGAACGAAATGTGTGCTTTTAGAATTTTTTTTTTAAATTAAGTCTTATAATTATTAAAGCGTAAGGAATTCAAATATCGCTTATTAAAGATCGCTTATCTATTTACTCGATAGCCCTAATTAAAAAAATGATTATAAATTTAATTCATAGGCCTTTACTCGTATTTTAATAATAAAATAAAAAACTCGATTAGAATATCGCTTAAATTAAAATAAAGATATTAATAATTACTATTTAATTAAATAATATTAATAACTAACTATCTTATAAGCGAGAAATTAATAAAAAACTTCGAGGCTTACGCGATAGATATTATATTAATATTATAAAATTTATTAAAGAAAATAAAAAATTTAAGTAAGATTTAAAATATAAGAAATAATAGTTAAAGAAGTAATAATCTTATATATTAATTAATTTAAAAAACTTTAATAAGAAAGATATAAGAATTATATCTTATTAGTCGAATATTTCTCTTAATAATATCTATCGAAATAATTAATATTATATCTTTATTATAAATCGTATAGAGAATATAAAATTAATTAAATAATATTTTAATATTTTAAATTCTTATAATATTAATAATTAAGATAAAGAAAATAGCTAGTATTAATATCTTCAAGGGAAATTTAAATAAAATATTATAATATTTTTTATTAAGTTTAAAAAAACTAATTATATATAAGATTACGAGTTTAGATTTATAAATTAAATTTATAATCTATTTTTTTAATTAGAGCTATCGATTAAATTTAATAAGCGATCTTTAATAAGTAATCTTTAATAGACGATATTTGAATTATTATAAGATAGTAAGATCTCTTTTAATAGAACTACGTAGTAGCTATATAACTACGAGATTTAGATATATAATTATAAGAATAAATAGATTAATTATTAAATAAACTAATAACTAAGAAAAGAAGAAAAGAAAAGAAAACTCGCGAGTATTTAAGATTTTTATTAAGTATATTAGATACTCGCTTTAGCTATATAGTTTATAAACTAGTAAATAATATAAGCGAGATCTATTAATAGACTCTAAATACTTTTATTCTTATAACTACTTTCTCTCTTAGAAGATTTAATCTCTAAATTTTATTATTATTATATTTTATAATTAAGTACTTATAGACTTATTAGTTTCTTATATATTATTTATTATTAGCTTAAATATAATTTAAACTAATATATATAATAATAATATATTTAAAGTACTTACTCTAAGATCTTCTTAAATATATTAATATATTTATATATTAAATCGCGATAATATAGTTATATATATTATTATCTTAATTAATAAAATATAAATATATAATTATCTTATTATAATACGCTATTATCGCTATTATTATTAATATTACTTTATAATTATAATAATTCTATTATTATAATTATTAAAAATCGCGTTAATAAATATAAAATCTTATTTTTATCTTAATTTTTTATTCTTTTTAGTAATAATAATAATAATAATAATAATAGTATTATTAATAAGTATTAAATCTTTCTTTATATTTATTATCTTATCTTTATTTTCTTTTATTATAATATCGCGATAATAAACTATATATTATTATAATAATATAATATATATTAATTAAGTAAAATTAAAATTACTTAATTAGATTAACTTTATATATAATAAATATCTTAAAAAATCCTTTATAATACTTTTTAGATAGTATAAGAAGTATATTAATATATTAATAATATCTATTCTCTATAATCTCTACTTATATAATTCTTTAAACTATTAAGTTAATAAATCGATATATAATAATATAAGATTTTTAGCTTATAGATATAGCTATAATCGTTATTATATTTATTACTTCTTTTATTATTACTTTAGCTATTACTTTAACTACTACTTCGATTATTACTCTTATCGCTCTTTATAAATAAAAGAGATATTTAATAATTAAGAGATTATATTAATATATACTAAGATTCCGTTTATTTATATTATATATATACGCTTATATATAACTTTTATATAATTTATATTACTTCGTCTATT